TAGGAGTGCTCAGAGGCTGCCTACTGGATAGGCAGGCAAACACCTATTTTCCCCCGTCTGGGACTTAGGCAGGACATAGGTGTCTGAGCATATGAGGCAGCAGTGCACATGCCCAGAGGGAGGAATTCAGGTGCCAAATAAGTTTAGGCAGCTACAGGGTTAGGTGGCAGCCAAGAAGGAATTTTGTGGATGGCAGTGAAGCCTAAAATTTGGACTCAGCCGTCTAAGTACCTTTGCGGATCTGGGTCTCCCTACTCATCACTGTGCTTCCAACACTGACTTTCTACACTTTTTCTAACACAAGGGTAAATTCCGGCTGGTTCCTGATCCAAAAGTACAGGCCCGTAGCACTTGTGCTAGTGGAAAATCTCCATTAATTCTTTGTAGTAACAGGTTTATTACAGGTTTCAGAGTAACAGCCGTGTTAGTCTGTATTCGCAAAAAGAAAAGGAGTACTTGTGGCACCTTAGAGACTAACCAATTTATTTGAGCATGAGCTTTCGTGAGCTACAGCTCACTTCATCGGATGCATACCGTGGAAACTGCAGCAGACATTATATACACACAGAGATCATGAAACAATACCTCCTCCCACCCCACTGTCCTGCTGGTAATAGCTTATCTAAAGTGATCATCAAGTTGGGCCATTTCCAGCACAAATCCAGGTTTTCTCACCCTCCACCCCCCCCACAAACTCACTCTCCTGCTGGTAATAGCCCATCCAAAGTTATTACACACAGTTGAGAAGTTCTAATTCCATCCAGTAGAGGGCAGTGGTACACACGCCACAAACCCATCCCTCTATCTAATACTCTATCAGTGGATTTCTAAATCAGAAACCACTTAGTAGGTTGGCATAATTTTCTGGGATTAGCTATGTTTTTGGCATGACAAAGGCCCATGAATCATGTGACACTGCATCACTATATGTTGACACAATATGATGAAGTAGCATTGCAGCATGCAAATAGATCGATAGGACCAGACGATATATTGATGCTTTATCATATTTTATTGTAGCCAGTGGCAGATTACCGTAGCATTATATTTTGATGCAATTCAAGATGACAATATATGATAGTATGAAGATGAGTGTTGAAAGCAGATTGTTTTTCACTCAAAGCAATCTTGCAACATAGTTTACTAATATTTTTGACCCCACTGGCACAATGACTACACTTGGCCTCTCCTACTCACAAAAAGGGCAACTCTAGGTTACAGTGCTGTGGATTGAAAGTGCACAGTTGTTTCATTGTCTTGTAACGAGCAAAGTGGTGTTTCCGTTCTAGCAAACCTTCTGCCTACAGTGAAATTGTTCTATGACTAGTCTTTCTCAGTCGACTGAAAAAGATATTTCTATGTACACACATGCAATTATGGAAGTAGAAAGACATGTGCTTTACTTCACCCTTGAATCTCACTGCTGATCATATCCCCTTCCCACCTTGTTCTGTACGATGGCGGGTTAGATTGTGAGTTCTTTGGAGCTTGGCCTTTGTCTTCATATCTGCCGGTTATGCTCCTAGTGCAGGGGTGGGCAAACTTTTTGGCCCAAGGACCACATCTGAGAATAGAAATTGTATGGTGGGCCATGAATGCTCACAAGATTGGGGTTGGGGTGCAGGAGGGAGTGAGGGCTCTGAGGTGGGGCCAGAAATGAGGAGTTCAGGGTGTGGGAGGGGTCTCTGGGCTGGGAAGTGGGGTGCAGGGGGTGAGGGCTCCGGCTGAGCGTGTGGGCTCAGGTGGGGCTGAGGGGTTTGGGGTGTAGGAAGGTGCTCCGGGCTGGGATCGAGGGGTTCAGAGGGTGGGAGAGGGATCATGGCTGGGGCAGGGGTGCAGGGAGAGACTCAGAGATGCAGGCTCTGGGCAGCGCTTCCCTTCTCTGGCTCCCGGAAGCAGCAGCATGTCCCTTCTCTGGCTCCTATGTGGAGGCACGGCCGGGCGGCTCTCCACACTGCCCTGTCCACAGGCACCACCCCTGCAGCTCCCATTGGAGAGCTGGAGGGGGCCATTGGAGCGGGGCCATTGGAACACGTAGGAGCTGGAGGGGGACCATGCAGCGGCTTCTAGGAGCTGCGTTGCGCGGCCATGACCCTGCTTGACCCTGGAGATGGGGGATCATGCTGCGGCTTCCGGGAGCCACGTGGAGCGGCACCTGACCCTGCTTCCCGGCTGGAGCGCCGCAGCGGGGCAAGCTCCAGGAGCTCAAGGACCGTCTTAAAAGGGCTAGCAGGCCGGATCTAGCCCGCGGCCCATAGTTTGCCCACCCTGTCCTAGTGGAATGTTAGTGTTATACAAACAAATAAGTGTTATACAAAATGCACACCCTCACAAACCTGAGGAAGAGCTCTGTGTAAGTTCGAAAGCATGTCTCTCTCACCAACAGAAGTTGGTCCAATAAAAGATATTACCTCACCCACCTTGTCCTACCTTCACAAACAGCATTTTATTTCAAGCAAAAAATATGCATAATAGCAGAAATTCTGATTTTACTTCATAAAGCATCATTTTTACGTAGGGTATTATTTTTAATGTAGAGAGCTCCTATCTTTCATTTGATGTTTTGGCATGCTATTATTTAAGTCTGATCCAGAGCCAGCTTTATTTTTTCCGAGTTATTTTATTTACACTTGTGCCCATTCACCCAACCCTGGGCTTTCAAAAGAAATTATTACAGCTCTGCCAGTTTGTATATTCCCCACGTGTTGCAGATAAGATGCATTAATCTGGGAACTATTATAATAAAAAGCAGTCAACACTGCAGCAATAAGAGTAATAATACTCTGTTCTCACCATGTTTAATTCCCTTGTTACAGAAGCATCACCATGTTGTTTTTACTCTTCAGACCATAAAGGACCAGCAAGTCATCTTTTTTTAATTCAGTTTTCAAAATTAAAAACAGTTCCCATGCCTGAATGGGGTTGTGAATATTTATAAACTGTGAAAAGCAGAGCTGTGGTTTTGGGTTTTTTGAAAATCTGAGTGAATTTACTGCCCACGAAAATGAGAGACTTGTGTGGTTTCCTACACAGCTCTGCCGCTATACCTCATTTTTAACTTGCAGTCCAATCTTAGCTGCTGCAGGCCTGGGTTGTTTTAGAAATCACTTTGCCAGTTTAATGGCAAATTTGAAATATGTATAGCGTGGAAGGAGGTGGGGAGATGATGTGACCAAACTCGTGTGGCTGTGACTGCTCAAAAGACCTACACCTTCGTTTCTTGCCCTTACTTGAATCAGCTCAAGTGTAGTGCTCCTTGTCATCACTAAGAAAATAAAACCATTCCGCTAAAACATTTGAGAGAATTAACTTTAATTTGCCTCACTCTTTCTTTTCGCCAGAGCCTCACACTTTGAATTAGTGTGCAAAATGATATTATTTAGACTGCGAATAATTTCAAAACTGCTCAGACTGGCACCCAAAATGGTCACAAACAGTAGGACTGATGAACCGAATGTTTGTAAGACTATTGTCGTGCATTCCAATGTTTTGCCACCTGAACAGGTCAGTCTTCCACAGTATTGTAGCTTAGTCTTTGAGGCATATGGTCTATAAAAAGCTGTGTGCAGAGTTCCACAGGGCTCAATTAGGGTCAGATTCGGTCTTCAAAATTCACATGAGCACAGGAAAGCACAATGTAGCTTTTACAGTTTAATTGGAAGGTTTGTGGCAGTGTCCTGTCATGCACCTGACAATGATCTGTAGAAATGTACCACTCAATGTGTCCATCACAAAAAGTAGAGACAGATCTCCTACTGCTTATTGTTATTAATCAATCATGTATTATTGTAGCTCTTAGGTACCCTAGCCATAGATCAAGATCCAGTTGGGCTAGGCATCAGTCAAACACTGAACAAAAAGACAGTTCCTGCCCCCAAAGATCTTAATATCTACATAATTAATAATAAATAATTGGTTCGTAGCAACCCAAAGTGTGCTAGGTGCTGTACAGATATATAGAAGTTACAGGTTTCAGAGTAGCAGCTGTGTTAGTCTGTTACAGTACAGCATCTGCCCCAGTGAGATTACAATAGAAGGGCTCCTTTGAATGCAGTGGGCTTTGGATCAGGCCCTTCAGCCCAGTCCTGCAAACACAGGCAGAAGTATTTCCATTGAAGTCAATGGGACTACTCAGATGTCCAAGAGTTCACAGCTGTTTAGAGCAACAGAGGCATCTTGATGGGATTTTAAAGCTGTAATTTTTTCTCCACTGTTTTGTACATTATGTAATGGCTTTATTTATATTTCCCAAGTTATTTCTGGGCTCTGTTTTTCTTTTCCCCTTGCCTAGCAGATAGGTTTAAGGGTCTCATTGAAAATATGGGGTCTTTTCCCATGGGTGGCAACTATAACAGGGCAGAGAAGGCTAAGCCTGCCCTGGCGCAGCCGCTGCCACCCCACTGCCAGACAGCTGGGCTGTAGTGGCCCCACCTGCGCTCTGCCTCTTCCCCTCCCTGTTCTGCCCCTTCCCGAGGCCCGCATAGCCCGCTGCTGCCAGGTGAGTCCCTCCTCTCCTCCACTCCAGCCCCCGTCTATGGAGGTCCCCACCACTTGCTGCGTCCCTCCTCTCCTCCACCCCCGTCTCCACAAGACCCTGCCTGCCCACCGTGTCCCTTCCCCCCTGCAAGGTCACCTGCCATTCGCTGCATCCCTCTTCACCCCCCCGACCCCCGTGAGACCCCTCGCCCACCACTTGCTGCGTCGCTCCTCACCTCTACGCCCCCGCATGGAGGGGGATAGAAGAGAGGAAGGATGCTGAGAGGGTGAGCAGTGGGGGATTTCGGGGTGGGGAAAGGAGGAGAGGAGGGATACAGGGAGCAGCAGGTGGTGGGAGCCTTGTGTAATAGTAGCCCAGGCACTCCACCCTGAGGGATATATTTCACGACAGCTGGACATACACCCAGCTGTGAGAGCCTCATTTGAAAATCTGCTCATAGTTTAAATGTTTCTTGCAGAACACACAAATGTTTGCAGCAATGTTGAATAAAAATGTACTTACAGAAAGAGAAGGAATCTTTATTTGTCCCCTACATACAGTGGTTGCTGCTGACATACATACACAATGGCAATGGGGACATTTACATTGTAAAATTAAAGCACACACAGCAATCATTACAAGGTTTATACTACAGTGCAAGAAAACAATGCCGGGCTCAATTAATTACATAAACCCATATTACTGGGGCTCATTGTCAAAATACTCCTTTAAAGTCTCCCTGATTTGAATAACAACCTGTTAAGCCCCTCTAACAGCCCTGGTATCTGGCTGCTCAAAGGCAGCAGCCAGCTGATCCACCTCAATGCTTCACCCCTGTGGAAACTTCTCCCCCTCAGATTCACAAATGTTATGCAGAGCACAGCAGTCTGCTATGACCATGGGAATATTTTCCTCATTGAGATCTAACCTGCAAAAAGGCAGTGCCAGCAACCCTTTAAGCATCTAAAGGCACATTTAAAAATCATTCTGCACCTGCTCAGGCTGTTGTTGAAGTGCTCCTTGCTGCGGTTAAAGTTGCCTGTATAAGGCTTCATGAGCCATGGGAGCAAGGGGTAGGCTGGGTTTCCAAGGATCCCTATTGGCATTTCCACATCCCCAATTGGAATCTTCTGGTCTGGAGAGAAAGTCCCTGCTTGCAACTTTCTGTATAGGGCAGTGTTCCTGAAGATGCATGCATCATGTACCTTCCCAGACCACCCTGTGTTGATGTCAGTGAAACAACCCTGGTGCTCCACCAGAGCTTGCAATACCATAGAAAAGTAGTCCTTTCTGTTGATGTACTCCATCACAAGGTGGTCTGGGGCCAAAATGGGGATATGCATGCCATCTTTCGCTCCACTGCAGGATCAATCGGTAGCAGTCTGGAATTGCCAGCTTCCTTACAGCATTTGCCACTTGCTTCTCCACTGTTATGGCAGCTCTCATTTTGGTGTTCTTGAGCTGGAGTGCAAGGGCAAGCTCCTCACACAGTCCCAGGAAAGTTCTGCAGCCACTGCTCATCATCCTATACCTGCAGCATGATGTGATCCCACCACACAGTGCTTGTTTCCCGAGCCCAGTAATGACAGTCCACCATGTGCAGCTGCTCCGTGAATGTCAACAGCAATCTTGAATTGTTTCTGTCCATGGCATACAGCAGGGCAGACACCATGATGTCATTATCAGATTGTCAGCTCATGAAATACCACAAGATCAGCCTCGTTGTGTTCATAATGCTTATCACAAGACTGGAGAGCAGTGCAGGATCCATGCTTTCAGACAGAGATGCCGGTTGAACAGGTTACAGGGGCTGTTGAAAAGCAGCATGAAATGTTGTTGGAAGCCCATGGAATGATCCGATGGAGAAAACTGGGACATTGAGCCCACCCCCGTGAGGGACTGCAATCCCTTCCCACAACACCAGTGGCAGATGGGGGGGGGGGTGAGTTGCACAGGGGAATAGCTGTCCACAGTGCACTGCTCTCTCTGTCGATGCATGAGCACTGACTGTGGATGCACTCTGCCGTCACAAGGCATGTTGTGTGGACATGCAAATGTGGTTTAATTACAGCAGCAGATGAATGGTGGTGTAACTAAAGTCGACTTAACTCTGTAGTTTAGACATAGCCTTAGTCTCATGTTTTCACTATGAGGTCTCACTAATGTTAATATCAGGAGGAGAAAGGACTTGAGGGGTCTCTCACATCCCAGGTGAGTTCCCTAACGACTAGGCTAAATATCATGAGGGAGGGTATCCTCCTCCCCACTGGCTGTTTTGTGCAAACTTGCCTGAGGGGCCGGATGCTGTAGATGTGTTCAAAGACCATCTACAGCCTGGACCCCAGTATGCCACTTGGGCAGCTGAATACCTATTGTTCTTGGTTTGTGGGAGTTAGGGGTGTCTAAAATACCTTTGAGGATCTGGGCCTCAGTGCCCATTTCACATCTGGCCAGTATGTGTTCTTCCTCCATTTCAAATTTCAACAACTAGCCCCCTAGCTGGATGAGATGCAACTAGAGACCTGTGAATTGGTAACTTCCTCTGGAGTCATATGTTCTGTAAGTAAGATCTGACTGACATGGCTGTAACAATCCTTTACTTTGGGGACATCCTGATTCCATTAAAGTCAATGAGAATTTTGTTCTGGACCTCAACAGAGCCAGGATTTAACCCTGGATATTTTAATATTCTTCCTCTTCTCTGATTTTTCTGGAATCTGCTTTTCTCCCTTTTTATCTTCCCCCTGCGCAGAAGAGGTTGGGAAGTAGCCCCTTTCAATTCACCTTCTAAATTGTTGATAAATATAACCAGGCAAGATGCAAGTCCCAACGAGTGGAGTGAAGTTCTTGGACACACCTTGAATTAGGACTTCATAATGTATTACAAAGAAACTGCCAGTTGGAGTGAGAGAAGCTTATTCCTATAAACCAATGATATTGACTTTATGTTGTAAAGATGGGCCAAGACTGGACTATGATGTGAACTTTCCCAACATTTTAGGTTGTTTGGAGCTGGGTTTTGGTCCAGGCCCAAGCCAGAGCAATGAGACAGCTGTGAATTTCAGACCCAGATGGAAACTCCCCACTAGATAAGTCTTTTTGCATCTAGTTAAATATTTAGCTTATTTGATGAGATTATTGATATTGAATGGACTAGAGTGTAGAACCATTTTTATAATGTCTCCTAAAATCCAGAGCATATTTTAATTTTATTTGGATAATCCTCAGAGAACTTTGGCGTGGTTTAGTTTGTAATGATACACTCCTGGGAGACATTGTACATCCCAAATTTCATAATAGGGGTGGTAGGACTTAAGCACTCTCCTGATCATGCCCAAAATACTTCAAAAGCCGCTCAGAGTCCTGCTTGCTTAATGTCAGTTGTGAAGTGGGATTTTTTTGTCACATTTATAGTCAGTTAAAAGTTACATTATAGCCAACTCTGAGTTTCAGTGTATTGATACAGGGGAGCATAGCTTAGCGCTTCTCTTATTCCCATGGTAGAAAACATTCAAGGGAATCCCCCTTAGGCCAGGTCACATTTGGCAGAGACTGGCACAAATCCAAGAATGTGAGACTCCCTTTTTGTGTGTGACTTGTCTTATGAAGGAGGAGAACATAGCATTATTTAAAAGTAAGAGGCTTGATCCTGCATGGTGCTGAGCATCAACCTCCTTGGCTTACACATGAGTTGAGGTTGCTCAGCACCTCAGGTGCAGGCTGAACAAACACTGACATGCTGGCACACTGTGTGCTTTTAAGAGGCAGTTATAGAATGGCAAGAAGGCAGTCTATGCATTAATGAAGCAGGCAGAGACATTTCCTGAGCAGCTTCAGTGTCTGAGTCTTCATTTGCAACAGCAGTATCAAGAGCATTGGCAGAGGCAGGCTAATTAATCCAGGCAGTTCCTGTGCAGAGGGCTGGTTTTTTTTTTTTTTTTTTTTTTTTTAAAGTAGCAAAACACCATGAGCACTGCACTGTTTGCTTTTATAGATAAAAAGGAGCTTAATCCCTCTGGTCATATTTAGCACCCACCGTCAAATATACCATTGGCAAAACCCCACAGAGAAATCAGGGCACCGTTGTGGGGTGTAGTTTGTTTTTAAAAATCAGAATATCATAGAGCCAACATACCCATCCAGCTGAGTAGCTCTTTGATTGGAAAGGATGGTGGGTGTGTGAGAGAGAGAGAAATGCAACATGTGGCAAAATTTGTACAGTATATTAACAAATACAATATTTGAGCACCTAGGACATGATCCTGTACATAGTTACGAGTCACTCTACTCATGTAAATAGCTCCATTGATTTGAGTGGGTCTACCCATCGAGTAACTGCTCACCTGTTTAAGCGTTTGAAGGATCTGGCCGTCAGATTGTAAGCTCCTTAGGACAAGGACTCCTGACTTTCTCCGTTCTCATATCTTAGACTTCTCACTGTACTTACCATCATGGTATCTGAGCGCCTTTGAACAGCAGTCAGACACTGTGGAAATTTAAGAAATAATCCCAAATTGTGTTTCCTACTTCAATGAAGAGATTTCACAGCACGACTTGAAGCCCAGCAGTTTGTCAAGGTTAACTGAAAAAAAGGGAAGATCATTTACTTGATTTTAAAAAGCTGCTCTAATAATTCTCTGAAATAAACATCACCTCCCCGCCCCTGAAAAAAAAAAAAAAAGCAGCAATGACACTGTTGTGGCAAATGCAGCCCTGCTGAAGTCAACAGAACCGAAGGCTGGATGGATTTGGCCCAGTAAGTTAATGGACACTTTTCATTTCTCTCTCTAAGAATAATACTGTATCACATTACAGTTCTTCACACTGAATTATAACCATGTTACCTTTGTATCTTGTCAGGGTTCCTTCCCCACTCTGAACTCTAGCGTACAGATGTGGGAACCTGCATGAAAACCTCCAAAACTTATTTTTACCAGCTTAGGTTAAAACTTCCCCAAGGTACAAACTATTTTACCTTTTGCCCTTGGACTTTCGCTGCCACCATCAAATGTCTAACCGGTATTATATTATTAGGAAAGAGTCAGTTTGGAAACGGCTCTCCCCCCAAATCTTACACCCCTTTTCCTGGGGAAGGTTTGATAAAAATCCTCACCAATTTGCATAGGTGAACACAGACCCAAACCCTTGGATCTTAAGAACAATGCAAAAGCATTCAGTTTCTTAAAAGAAGAATTTTAATAGAAGAAAAAGTAAAAAGAATCACCTCTGTAAAATCAGGACGGTCAATACCTTACAGGGTAATCAGATTCAAAATATAGAGAATCCCTCTAGGCAAAACCTTAAGTTACAAAAAGACACAAAAACAGGAATATCCATTCCATTCAGCACAGCTTATTTTCTCAGCCATTTAAACAAACAGAATCTAACACATCTCTAGCTAGCTTATTTACTAAGTTCTAAGACCCCATTCCTGTTCTGTCCCCAGCAAAGGCATCACACAGACAGAGAGAGAGGCTTTGTTTCTCTCTCCCCCCAGCTTTTGAAAGTATCTTGTCTCCTCATTGGTCATTTTGGTCAGATGCCAGCAAGGTTATCCTAGCTTCTTAACCCTTTACAGGTGAAAGGGTTTTTCCTCTGGCCAGGAGGGATTTTAAAGGTGTTTACCCTTCCCTTTATATTTATGATATATCTATTGAAGTGATTTTTGTGTTCTCCTTCAAAACTTAAGTCTGCAGTGCAGATTTACCAGAAAAGAAAATGTGTTATCTTCAACATTCATTTATTCTACGGCAACGAATTGTTCCCACCTCATTTTAAATAAATGGCATGTCATTAAATCACTGCAGGTGTACACACTGTTTGCAATGTATACCATAAAATGCACTTCAATAATGTAACTTGCTACTATGCGAAATACAGTACACTGAACATTTACATGAAAATGCCACTTTTCTTGTCAAAGTGGAAATCAATGGCTCCAAGTGCACAAACCAAGCAATCACATTTAGAAAAAGAGAGGCATTTTTAATAATCTACATTATCGCTTGGGCAGTTGGGTGCACCACTGATAAAAACCATAGAGTACAACTCAGAAATCGGGAAGTGGATGCCAGATGGACCTCAGTTAATGCACACTTTGCTAGGAAAGCTATTAAGCCTGGTGGCTGATCTCATGCAGGAAACTCATTCTGTTCCTCCACTGAGAATTCCATTCCCTAACAGAGGAAACCTAGAATAGAGAGGAAGGATGCTTCAGTTGTTAGCATGCTAGCCAAGGATTTGTTAGACCTGGTTTGAAGTCCCTGCTTTGCCAGTCTTCTGTGTGATTTTGGGCAAGTCACTTGCTCAGGGCATGGCTCCACTTGAGAATGTAGAGCGCTTTGAGTTAAACCAGCCTTCGTAGAGCGCAGTAGGGAAAGCGCTGTAGTCTGTCCACACTGAGCTGCAAGCGCACTGGCATGTCCACATTTGCAGCACTTGCAGTGGCATTGGGAGCGGTGCATTGTGGGCAGCTATTCCACAGAGCACCTCTTCCCATTCTGGTGCTGTGGCTTGTGGGGAGGGTGCAAGGGTAATGGGACATTCTGGGTCCTGTTCCAATGCCTTGTGATACATCGGTTTGCATCCCAGCAATCCCTCTGCTTCCGTCCACAATTGGCGCCATCTTTCAACATTTTTTGTATTGCGCGCTCTGTCTTCCCTTTGGGTCTGCGGGAATGGAGCTCAAACTGCTGAGGAATATGCTGACAAGTGTCGCCAGCACATCACATTTGTCAGTCGAGTTACTCCTTAAGATCCAAAGTGACAGTGAGGACTCCAATGATATCGACACGAGTAACGCATACGACACGAGATTGCTTGTGGCATTCATGGACCTGCTCACCACCGTGGAACGGCACTTTTGGGCTTGGGAAACAAGTACTGAGTGGTGGGATCACATCATCATGGAAGTCTGGGATGACGAGCAGTGGCTGCAGAACTTTCGGATGAGAAAAGCCACTTTCACAGGACTGCGTGAGGAGCTCGCCCCCACCCTGTGGTGTAAGGACACGAGATTAAGAGCTGCCCTGATGGTGGAAAAGCGGGTGGCTATTGCAATCTGGAAGCTGGGAACTCCAGACAGCTACCGATCGGTTGCTAACCAGTTTGGAGGGGGGAAGTTGACCATTGGAATTGTGTTGATGTAAGTTTGCAGGGCTATTAATCGCATCCTGCTCAGAAGAACCGTGACTCCGGGTAACGTGCATGACATTGTGGCCAGCTTTGCACAAATGGGTTTCCTTAACTGCGGAGGGGTGATAGATGGAACGCATATTCCAATTCTGGCACCAGCCCACCTCGCCTCCGAGTACATTAATCGGAAGGGGTATTTCTCTATGGTTCTCCAGGAGCTTGTGGATCACCGTGGGTGTTTCATTGACATTAACGCAGGCTGGCCTGGAAAGGTGCATGATGCATGCATCTTTCGGAACACTGCAAGGAAGCTGCAAGCCGGGACTTTTTTCCCCAAACCAGAAGATCGCCGTAGGGAAATCGAAATGCCCACTGTGATCCTTGGAGATCCCGCTTACCCTTTAATGCGGTGGCTCATGAAACCCTACACAGGAAGCCTTGACAGCAGCAAGGACCGGTTCAACAACAGGCTGAGCCGGTGCAGAATGACTGTGGAGTGTGCTTTGGGCCATTTAAAGGGCTGCTGGCATTCTCTGTATGGAAAGCTGGACCTGGCCAATAACAGCATCCCCGCGGTTATATCCATGTGCTGTACCCTCCATAACATTTGTGAAGGGAAGGGTGAAAGATTCACTCAGGCACGGAACTCGGAGGTTCAACACCAGGAGGCTAAATTTGAACAGCCAGAGAGCAGGGTTATTACAGGGGTTCAGCACGGGGCTGCAAGGATTAGGGATGCCTTGAGGGAGCAATTTGAGGCTGAAAGCCACCAGTAATGTCTGGTGCCCTGCACGGGAGTGAAGTGTAGTGGTTCCAATGTTAGTAGGAATCTGTGTTTGCTACGTATGATACACTGACTTGCAGTGCCTGTTGCTTTCCTAGGCCAAGGTATCTTTTACATTATGCAATAATAAAGAACATTTTCAAAGCAAAAAAAATCCATTTAATGAAAAGAAAATGCATTTATTGAAAAGAAACACAACTGCTTGGGAAACACGATAGTGCTCCACCTGCATGGCTACGAGCTCCTGGATCGAGTCCGCTTGGCACTCCATGATGCTTATCAGCCGCTCTGTGCTTTGATGCTGGCGACCCACATTCTGCTGGCAGACCCTCCTTTCACTCTCCCGCCACTCCTGCACTTTTTAATTTTCATTAAGGGAGTGCCTCATGACTTTATGCAGCATGTCCTCTTTGCTTCTTCGTGGCCTCCTGATTCTTTACAGCCTCTCAACCAGTGATAACATGGATGGCTGAGATCTCAAGGTTGCATCTGTAAAGGCAAAATGCAGCACTTAACAGAGGCACCATTGTTCACACAAGACAGAGCAATGATTCCTCTGTACTTAAGGGCAAGTAGAGTCTACACAATAGCATAATTTGCCCATCCCAAAGCGAGCACACATACACCATGGGAGCCCCAAAATGGTGAGTAAACACAGAGTCAAGTGTGACTGATTCTTTCATGGCTGTACTGTCCTCTGGGTTTCTGTGCCTTGGGGAGAGCCAACAGCTGCAGGGGGCCCCTATACTGAACACTGTCCCCACATATTCCACAGGAGTTTGTCCTGGAAGATATCTTGCTCCTGAGGGTGACCTGGGAAGCAAGGGAGGGTCTTCTGCTGCAATGCGGCTTCCGCCCTGGCCCATGTACAGCTTGCCTGTGTGCAGCAGTGGTCCCCCCGCCCCTCACGGCGCAGTGGCGTGGACATGTTAGTCTGACTGGGACAAGGACCACAGTGGCTCTCCCGAGAAACCTGCGCAAGTGCATTGCCCGGGTTCTGGCTGAGACCTTTGAAGAGATCACTGAGACTGATTACTGCGATGTGAGAGAGCACATCAATGCCCTATTCCGCATCTAGGCATGCATGCAGCCCTAACCCTCCTCACCCCAAGAGCCTGCACTGAATAACTTCCTTCCCAAAATAGAAGTCGCTTACTGGGAACCTCCTCTGGTGTTTGTCCTTCCTCAAGCACCGGCCACCGTGACTGGCTACTTTCCTCCTGGCTTGAAAATAACCCTGGCATCCCTGCAGCCAGGAGCATCTTCCTCCTCCTCAGCACCCTGGCTCCCGCTTTGCTCCTCCTCCTACCTTGTTGCACTGGCCTCTGTGGTGTCCATGGTGGTACTCAGAGTGGAGGTGGGGTCGCCCCCAAGTATCGCGTCCAGCTCTCTGTAGAAACAGCAGGTTGCGGGGCCAGCACCGGAGCAGCTGTTTGCCTTGCAGGTTTTGCGGTAGGCATTCTGCAGCTCCTTCACTTTAACCCTGCACTGCAGAGCATTCCGGTCATGGCCCCTTTCCAGCATGGCCCTTGATATCTGCCCGAAGGTATCGTAGTTCCTATGGCTGGAACGCAGCTGGGACTGGACAGCTTCCTCCCCACAAACACTGATGAGGTCCAGCACTTCACCATTGCTCCATATTGGGGATCGCCTGGCGCGTGGAGGCATGGTCACCTGGAAGGATTCGCTGAGAGCACTCCATGCCTGGCTGAGCAAACAGGAAGGGGATTTTCAAAATTCCCAGAGAATTTAAAGGGCGGGTCTGACGGTTGTTCACCTGAGGGCAGGGCAGTAGAGTTCAAAGTGATGACCAGAGTGTCTAGAACAGGCGTTGTGGGATACTTCTGGAGGCCAATCAGAGTGCCTAACAGACACTAACAGACCAGGGGATCCACACTGGCGTCGCGGCACTCCAGCGGGTGCGCATCAAATGTAATTCCACTCAAGAGGTGGAGTACCAGGAGCGCTCTAGCCACGGAATCAGTGCACTCTACATGCCTTGCCAGTGTGGATGCGCTGAGAGTTAGAGCACACTGGGCTGCTTTAATGTGCTTTAATTCACAAGTGTAGCCATTGCCCTTTGCCTCTATGTGCCTCAGTTTCCCCTGTAATCGTTATAATGCCACTTCCCTAACTCACAAGGGTGTTGTCAGAATAAATATATTACAGATTATGAGTTACTCAGATACTACAGAAATGAAGCTAGATAGGTATGCCAGCAAAACTGCTTCAGCTGAAGTCAACCATCACATACCCCTGAGGGAGATAAAAAACAACACCTTTGAAGTCAATGGAATTAAATGGTCTAACACCAGCATGAGTGAGGTCAAAACAGCCTAAAAAAGGGATACAGTATTAGCAACACCTTGAAGTTTCACCCAGAAATGCTGCACACCTCAGACTTCAAGGACTGTCATAGTAAGAAGCACAGTCCACTGTCCTCCTGATACCTGCGTCAGCACTTCCCAACTGCTTTCAGTACAGCAACTTGTCCCCTCAGTTGTACCTTCAATTTTACACTCTTGTCAAAGTAGTAGGACAGCTCCTGTAGAACATCCTAGGGACCAGGTAAAATAACCATGATCCCTTGGTTTTGTAGCAAGATGTACATAACAAGTACAACTACAACCTGCACCATACATTTCTTTCCCATCCCCATTTTCCCTCCTTGGCTGCCATCTTAAATGACCCAGGGATAGCCATAAAGCTGTAGAGTTACTGAAACAGGCAGATAGGGTGTTGCACATGAGAAGGGGGATGGACAGTAAGACGGGGCCTGCTTGGAGAAACATGTAATTAAAATGAAAAGATGGAAAGAAGATCATCCTAATTTTATTCCACCATTCTGTAAGTCTCCAGAGACTAATGCTTTCTCCCTGCTTTAGCAATTGACAAGTAAACCTATTGCATAAAAAGCTGAGTGTATGCATTGCTGACTTGTTCATTAAGACTATGTCTACCATTGCAATTAAACACCTGCAGCTGGCCCATGTCAGCTGACTCAGGCTCACAGGGCTCTGGCACCAGGGCTGTTTAATTGCAGTGTAGACATTTGGGCTCAGGCTGGAGCCCGGTTCTCAGGCATCAGTCTCCCTCGCATGATCCCAGAGTCCAGGCTCCAGTCCAAGCCTGAATGTCTACACTACAATTCAACAGCCCTGTAGCCCGAGCCCCACAAGCCCAACAGGTGTTTCATTGCAATATAAACATACCCTAATAGTTTTAGATTTTCAGGCAAAGAAACAATCCCATTTGCATTGTCACCATTTAGTGTATGACATAATTTACTTTACCTTGATGAAATTCTGCCTGCCTTACAAGTGTGAGTGGCATTACAACAGCGAAGGACACTTTACATGATGCATAAGATCATTACTGAGCCTCTTCCTCTTAATAAAAAAGGCTCACTAAAGGATTATGTATTGTACACAGGGTATTACACAGGCACCATTCATTGTTGTTAACAGGAGCTTTGAACCAGCTCATCCAAGCAGCATGCTGAGAAATTACCCCAGATGCTGTGATATTGTGTGTACAAATAAAGCTTCTCCCAATCTGCCTTAAACTGACAGGCCTGCAACTATACAATCAAGGTTGAACACACACAGACACTGTCCACACCCATATGTATATGTTTACTGTAGACCTCATGGAACTATCAAGACAAGCATTTAACAAACCTAAGAAGCCCCATTACCTTAGTAATTTTTTGAATCTCTTTCCTTAATCCTTCCTCCTTTCCCATTGGTTTATTGCTGTCAGTTGAGTCATGACTAAAAGTAGGCCCTGCTCCTGCAGCTAGTTGTGTGTGAAGGGAAACCCTGCTGGTCTGCCTGCATAGAGCTGTTTGCAGGATCTGGGTGTTAGACTGATCTGTGTGGGGGTGGGATTGGATCTTTTTCATTTGTCTGCAAAGCATGTAGCACACCCTGGGGTGCTATATAAATAACTTAATAAAGCAGCTATGCCATTTCTGTGCAGTGATATTTGTAGTTTAAACATTCTGTTGTGGCTAGAAGCAGCTATAGATGTGAGATGCCCTTGGCTTGTCACCTGGTTCTGTTACAAAGGAGATGGCAAAGGGAGTGAGCAACATCAATTTGTTTTAGAAAAAGAGATTAAAAGACTGGTAAGGAAAAGATAAATTAGTGCATTTTTTCATGAGATAATGAATGCAGGTAAAGGTATGGCTGCTGGGAGTAAGTGCTATAATGAATACCTAGGAGGAAAGTGTTACATGAGCATTCAATGATTAAATTGTTGTTTATAATTTTACAAGTGTTTGTCATGCTTAGGTGCATTTTGGTTACATGTAGAGAATGGGGGCTTAAAGGTATTTCACTCCACAAATCACACTCAATATTTTATTTTCTGAATTAGCTTGACAATATATATATACACACACACACAGGCCCCAATGGGACCTTACATTGGCCTAGGACTGGGGCTTTAGGGTGCAATTAGGGCCACTAGAAATCTGTAAGAAATGTTACCAAACTTTTAACGTTTTGTGGGATTTTTTTCCTCTCAGATTCTGCAGATTTTTAAGCAGGTTTATTTACAGCCTGATTCCAAGCCCCTTGGAGTCTCAGGGAGTCTTTCCATTGACTTCCATGGGCTTTGGATTGGATCTTCAATACTAATATGTTGTTCCATAAATTGTCAGTTTGGATTTAAAAAAAAAAAAAGATACATTTCACTAAATGTCATCTCTCAAAAAAATTCCTCCCCTATTTCTCCAAGGCTTTTCTTCCCCCTGAGATCTTCCAATCATTCTAGCATGAGCATCTCTCTACCTTTCCCTTTTAGAGTCCTCTATTACACATACTTAAAATGTTCTTAACATTTTAAAGAGAGAAGATCCATCCCTGTGGAATTTAATTGAGAATGACTAATTCCACTCAGTAAAGCACATTAGGTGGGTGTTACTACTAAAATAATAGGACCTTGGGAATTGTCAGATGAGATCAAACCAGTGGTGTTTCTAGTCCAGTAGTCCTTCCTTGATAGAGCCCAATACCAGATGCTTCTGAGGAAGATGCAAGAGTTACATCTTCACTAGGCAGTTAGGAGATAACCTGCTACCAGAGAAGTTTCCTCCTGGCCCATATAGTTAGAATTTGGTTTAAGCCTTGAAACATAAAAAACGGTGAGTTAATAGGGACATTTGAGTTGTTGTCATTAGGCTTCAGAGATCACATTCTGAGAGGCTTTTCACTCATTTCAATAGATGTACTCCAAGACCTTTTATGATTCATGGCAAGCTGAGTGCAAATTTGACTGAAAGATTCCAGGGATTCTGTGGCACTCTGATTTAGTAGACAACCTTCTGTGGCTAATTTATATAATTAAAAATGGTAGGGTTTAGTTACCTGAATATGAAAATGAATATTACATTTTCCGCAGTCGTCTTCGTCATGTTCCTATTACACCTCTGGCGTTTAGGGCAGTGACAAAGTTCCTCCACTCCTGTCCGTTTCTGGCAATGGGTCGATGGGTCCCCAGTTGTGCCCCAGATTTTTCAGCTCAGCTTCCATAGCTCTTTGCCATGTTATTTATTTTGACTATTAAAGTACAATTGTTGAGACGACATTTACATTGTTGCCGTTAGCTGAATGGGGTAGCTCACATGTCTGAGCACCACTATTTTAGAACGTAGCTTCAGGATTAGAAGACAGCACTGCAAACATTTACACTCAGCTCTTATTTGTAGAGTTGTCTTTGCTACCAAAAGGGCCACAGAGATTTGGTGTTTTTCCATGTAAGATTCTGAAGCAAGGAGTGGATTCCAGGGCAAATTTCACCACGTTGGATTTGCAGAACACACGAGATATTATGGCACTATGGACAAATGTTAACAACATAGTTGTGAGCTTTCTGTCTGCAGACTCAGCAAGACAGCACTACCTTAGGTCACATTCAGTAAGGTATCTGCAGCCAGAGAGGTTAGAAATAAAAGTAATATTTAATGAAAATGTACATTCTGTGGAAAACAATGAAACCCATTTGAAGAATCTAAATGTACATTAAAGCATGGAATTTACACAGTATATATTTCCAACAGCTGTAGTAATAAGTGGGTGTTTTAGTCATCTGGCTATATGAAGATGCTGTGTTTATTGATTTGACATAGATGGCTCCCAAGAGTACTATTCAGTCCAGAGCACATCATAAGTATCTCAATAATGGTACCAGTGTTATTTCTGCAACATGTTGCTTATGGAATAATCACCAGACTATATTATTTTTTGTTATTCATTAGTATTGCAGAGAGCTCAAAACAAACTGTTTTGCAATAAATCTCTTTGGATGCTTATATCTACTCTTGAAATCTTAATATGCCCCTCGCAGACTGAACTCATACTACATACTCATTTGTATTTGTTTATAATTTTTTCAAGGTAATTCAGAGCTCATGAAAAGTATCAGGTGGATAATGATGAAAGCAATTGAAGTCCAGTGTTTGTCCACAGGAAAGGTACAGCACAGCCAGCCAGAGGCCACACCACAAGGCTACAGTCCTTGCCTGAAGATACCAGCTTAGGGCATGTCTACACTGCAGACGGGAGCATGTTTCCAAGCTGGGTAGACAGACACATGCTATCTCTGCTTGAGCTAGCTCCCTGAAAAGAGCAATGTGGCCATAGTGGCAGCTCAGGCTAGTCACCTGATTACAAACCTGCTTCACCCTCCTAGCATGTATTTGGGCAGCTAGCCTGAGCCACTGCAGCCACACTGCTTGGGCAAAGCTAGCAAACATCCGTCCACCTGCACTGGGAAGCACCCTCCCAGCTGCTGCATAGAGACTTTCTAAGAGTGAAAGGGAAGTTATGTCTCTACACCCATTCAGTTAGTGGTGCTTCTGCTGAGGCTACCAGTTTTTATAGTGAGTTTTGTGATGTGGACACCATGCCACTAGGAACCAGATGTAAACTCCAAACAGCTGTCAGACTGTAATGACTTTTGGCCACGGCCAGCCCAGGCTGGATTTGAACCAATGACTTCCCAATCAATCCCTTCATCCATCCAGTTCTCTCAACAGACTGATATTTTAGTTTGTTGTTGCTGCTGCTGCTGGGCATATAGGCTCCACATTATAGGCTTTGTCACTGCACTGCTCTTCTGGGATGGCAAATTATTTTCTCCTATTGAACTCTACTGTGTACTTCACTTGTGTTTTTATTGTAGAACAATTAAACATAAGTGTAAGCAATTAGTTGGCATGCAGTTAAAAATACAGGTGTTGTTGGTAGGGAGAATGCCCTTGAGAGTTCTGGGGTAGCGGAAGGAAAGGGAGACAAATCTGTAGACTCCCTGTAGGTCTGTAAGATCAAAGTGCTTTTCCATTGTTATTACTAAATCTCTTCTCCTTCTGGTACAACCCTAACTTGCGTCAGTGTCAAGCTGAGTTATACATACATACTGGTGAAAGGGCATGTCTCACACACAATGGCTCTCATATTTAGGCTTGGAAGGATTAGATTTTTAATCAGTAAATTTCACCGTACACACAAACAACAACAAAAATATTTCCATCACTAGTAATCAAAATTTACACATAGGCAAAGAAAAAAATGCTGCTTGAGAACATATTAGTATTCCACCTTAATTTATATAAAACGTGGTGCAATGCCTGCATTAGAGGAGATGGTTAAGGATTTTACTTTGTATATTTTGACATGTGACGTTGACAGTTTGTGTTTATGGTTTATAAAGCTTTAACTTTTTAAATCTCAATGTCTGCTGTCATTAATTATTGTCTGATCCCCTCTCCCCTCCCCCAAAATTTCCTGCAACCGGAAATTTAAATAGATAAAAACAGAAAAAACGACCAAGAAACAAAAACACACAACCAAGAAAATTTAAAACAAATAAGAATCTAAAAAAATGCTTAACAATAAACATTGATATCTGCCAAAATTAGAACCAAAAAATTGATTTCTGTGAAGCCTAATCCTATCTGACCACATTAATTAATTTTACCTCATGGAGCAATCTCTCTCTGTGTTGTTCTTGTGGTGGTTATGCTGCGAACTCTTCACGCCAGGAAATTAGGTGGTAACCAGTTTGGAAGGGCTAGAGAAATATTGATGAATTAATTCTAATATGTCAGCACATTTGGAGACAAATTATACATATTAAAAAGGGAATGTTTGTTACTTTAGGTGAAACAGAGTTTGGCAAGAAGATTAATAAGGCAGTAGGTGATTTAAAAAACTCTGTTTAGTATTGGGATGCTGTTTGAGAAGTGGTGGGTCTGTTAAAAGGAGAAAGTAAAACTGGCTAAAAACAAGGCACAGCACAAACACCACTATGGGACATGAACATGGGACAATATTCCATTTTCATTTATGTTAATGTCTAACAATGCATTGTTACCAACTGGCTCATTGCATGGGAACCACTGCCCTCTACTGGATGGAATTAAAGCTGACCATTATGTGTCAAATTAATAGTTTGAATGGGAGAGGCATGAATTTTTCGAGCAGGGGGATCAAAGTTCTCCTTCACTGTCTGAGAAGTAGTTCCTAGGCTTCCAAGATATACAACACAGATCAGAATTTTCCAAAGATGTTATCACCCACATTCAGGGACAAATTTTCACCACAGCTCATTAGGTGCATGTTGGGAGTGCTGAATTCTACTTAAAAACTGGCCCCCATTATGGGTATTGAGCACTTGAAAATCTGTCCCATAATGGTGGTAACCCTGAAATTTTTAGATTGCTGCAAATTTGTTACAAGACATATGCTGGTGGGGTAGGAAAGGATTTAAGAGTCAGAGTAAGAAATGTTACTCACTGGAGTACAGTTGTTTCAGTGAAGATGCAAGAGATAATAGTATCAGTTGCTTCCCTGAATATTTATGTACAGTGTGCATTGGAGCAATGGCTATTGACCACACTGTGATATTACTATTGCCACAGAAATTGCAGTATACCCTAGGCATAGAAGGGACAATATCTCAGTCAACTTCAGGCATGATCTACAAGGAGCAGGACAAGATACAGAAACAGATCAATGAGAGCTATGGGGTAATGATTGCCATTAACATTTTTGTTTTTTCTTACCTCCATTCTCTACTCATCCCTCCTGACCTTGCCCTTAAATCATTCACCCCTGCATATCTCACCTATCTACAGCCCCCCTCCCCCCACCACCATGGAATCATAGAATCGTAAGACTGGAAGGAGCCTCAAGAGGTCATGTAGTCCAGTCCCCTGCACTGAAGGCAGGACTAAATATTGTCTAGACCATCCCTAACAGGTGTTTGTCTAACCTGTTCTTTAAAATCTCCAATGATGGAGATTCCACAACCAACTTGGGCAATTTGTTACAGTGCTTAATCACTGACAGTTAGGACGTTTTCCCTAATGTCCAACCTAAATCTCCCTTGCTGCAATTTAAACCCATTGCTTCTTGTCCTATCCTCAGAGGTTAAAGAGAACAGTTTTTCTTCTCCTCCTTGTAACAACCTTTTACGCTCTTGAAAACTGTTATGTCCCACCTCAATCTTCTCTTCTCCAGACTAAACAAACCCACATTTTTTCAATCTTCACTCATAAGTCATGTTTACTAGACCTTTAATCATTTTTGTTCCTCTTCTCTGAGCTTTCTCCAGTATGTCCCCATCTTTCCCGAAATGTGGCACCCAGAATTGGACACAATACTCCAGTTGAGGCCTAATCAGCACAGAGTAGAGTGGAAGAATTTCTTCTTATGTCTTGCTTACAAGACTCCTGCTAATACATCCCAGAATTATGTTTGCTTTTTTTTGCAATAATGTTACACTGTTGACTCATATTTAGGTTGTGATCCACTATGACCCCCAGATCCCTTTCTACAGTACTCCTTCCTAGGCAGTCATTTCCCATTTTGTATGTGCCCAACTGATTGTTCCTTCCTAAGTGGAGTATGTTGCCTTCTCTGTCCCCATATCTAGCGACACCATCATTGGACCCAACCGCACCAGCCACACCATCAGAGGCTCGTTCACCTGCACATCTACTAATGCGATATATGCCATCATGTATCAGCAGTGCCCCTCTGCCATGTACATTTGCCAAACCAGAAAGTCTCTATGTAAAAGGATAAATGGACACAAATCAGACATCAGGAATGGTAACATAAAAAAGCCAGTAGGAGAACACTTCCATCTCCCTGGACATTCGGTAACAGATTTAAAAGTAGCCATCCTTCAACAACAAAAACTTCAAACACAGACTTCGAAGAGAAACTGCTGAGCTACAATTCATTTGCAATCTTAACACCATCAATTTGGGCTTGAATAGGGACTGGGCGTGGCTGACCGGCTGACTGACTACAAAAGCAATTTTCCCTGTCTTGGTATTGACACCTCCTCATCAATTATTGGGAGTGGACCACACCAACTCTGACTGAATTGGCCTTCAACATTGGTTCTCCACTTGTAAGGTAACTCCCTTCTCTTCATGTGCCAATATATATTTATGCCTGTATCTGTAATTTTCACTCCATGCATCTGAAAAAGTGGGTTTTTTACCCATGAAATCTTATGCCCAAATAAATCTGTTAGTCTTTAAGGTGCCACCGGACTCCTAATTATTTTGGTGGATACAGACTAACATGGCTACCCCTCTGATACTTTGCATTTGTCCTTTTTGAATTTCATCCTATTTAATTCAGACCCTTTCTCCTGTTTATCCAGAACATTTTGAATTTTAATTCTAGCCTCCAAAGCACTTGCAACCCCTCCCAGCTTGGTATTGTCAGCAAACTTTATAAATGTATGCTCTGTGCCATCATCTAAACAATTGATGAAGATATTGAACAGAACCGGACTCAGAACTGATCTCTATGGAACCCCACTCACTATGCCCTTTCAGCTTGACTGTGAACCACTGATAATGGTGACAAGCTGCATCAGGCTCTTGTCTGGAACTAGGTTTCCCTCATCCAAAAGTAGCAGAACTCTGTTCTCCTTCCTGGTCAGCCCTTAGCTGGAGTAGGTTTCTCCTTTTAACTCCCCTCTCCACACACGACCTTGGTTGCAGATGTAGTGGGATGGGGACAACTGGGTCCACAGGCTCTTTCATCCCGTTGCTGCCAGTGTGGGACCCACCACTGTTCCTATTCAAGTGAACTATGAAATGAGTTCCCAGGTCAGGATTCTGCCTGACCTTCAGGGCATAGCACAGAATGTAAAACAGGGCAGAATATATCCCTCTGTAACAGGGTAGCTGTGAAGATGAGCACAATGGAAATTAAACAGGAACAACCTTACATTTTATATCTTTTTCACTGATTTGTGCACACACACCTTTTCATCCTGAAGGATCCTAAAGCATTTTAAAAACCTTACATTGTTCAATTCACCAATCACTTTGCAGTCACCACTGGGGTGAGATCCAGCAACTATTGATCAGTGCAGAGCAACACTGTACATCAGTTCAGGACAAGATGAATGCTGTATCCAGCTGAAATTGCAGGAGGAATTTAGGTCAACAATCTAATTACTTGGACAGCTTCAGTTATTTTCTGTACGTAACTTAAACTGACCCTGCCAACTTAAAAATTATATTTCAAAAAGGTTTGTTACATATGTTACTAATATCACTTGAGATTATTAAAGCAGTGATATTTACAAATACAATTTACTTTTCACTATTAGTGCTGTCCTGTTTGTTTACCGTCTTCAGATTTCTCAGTTTACACAATGAAAATAGACTAGTCAGTTTCACATTTGTTTCTTCTCAGGTTTTATTTGCAGGTTTTCCTGCACTAATTCAGTGTTACTAAATAAATAAAATGAAAATCTGTGGGAATAAAAAGTGAATCATGAAAATCTGTTTACTGTTTCATAAAAAGCTTTAAAAAACAAAAAAAACAACCACCCCTACCCCGACAAAAACCTTAATTTTGGTTCAAAAATTCAACTTAACCATGCCCTTAAAATGAAATGACCACACCTGAAAACTGCAAGATCAGCTCTGGCATGCATACCTATATTGCTTTTCTTGGACATATTTACTATGCCTATAATCATCATATATTACATATATTGAGCATATATTACAAAAAGTAAAAAAACAGTTGGCACAAATAAAATGCACTCTGCATCTGTCCCCTCCCACTGAAAAGATAAGTACTTTTGCCAAATAAGGTCCAAATATAAATCTGTAGTGCACAAATACACTCAGCACTGTGTCCTATAGGTCATCAAAAAGTTACACTGATATTAAGCTGAACTTATTTCAACGTATATGTATTATCTGTATAAGGTGATGCTTGTTTTGTTAACATTGTTACTCTCTTGCATGAGTAGGGCCCTTTGTTTTCAGTTTTTATTTAACTTTTCCCTGGGAATTTATCAGTGTTTATTACCACACCAAAACAGGTGAAAAATCAGTGCAAAACACATTGGATTTTTCTGGGTAAATATCAGGGTTTATTTTGGTGGATGGAAAGACAGGGGAAAAAGTATTACGTAGATTAATGCTTTGAATTCCATTCGTCAGTGTGGTTTGCTGCAGAACTAAAACAGAACTCAAAATACAATGCCACCTCTGAGTTTAAGAAAACAATACATCTCTAAATCCCCATATAAAACTTTTCATTTGAATAAACAGTTTACTGTTAAAAGGAGTACTTGTGGCACCTTAGAGACTAACAAATTTATTTGAGCATAAGCTTTCATGAGCTACAGCTCACCTCATCGGATGCATGCAGTGGAAAATACAGTGGGGAGATTTTATATACACAAAGAACATGAAACAATGGGTGTTACCATACACACTGTAATGAGAGTGATCAGGTAAGGTGAGCTATTACCAGCAGGAAAGAAAAAACCCTTTTGTAGTGATAATCAAGCTGGGCCATTTCCGGCAGTTGACAAGTGTGAGGAACGGGGGGGTGGGGGAGAATAAATATAGGGAAATAGTTTTACTTTGTGTAATGACCCATCCACTCCCAGTCTCTATTCAAGCCTAATTGTATCCAATTTGCAAATTAATTCCAATTCAGCAGTCTCTCCTTGGAGTCTGTTTTTGAAGTTGTTTTGTTGAAGAATTGCCACTTTTAGGTCTGTAATCGAGTGACCAGAGAGATTGAAGTGTTCTCTGACTGGTTTTTGAATGTTATAATTCTTGACATCTGATTTGTGTCCATTTATTCTTTTACGTAGAGACTGTCCAGTTTGACCAATGTACATGGCAGAGGGGCATTGCTGGCACATGATGGCATATATCACATTGGTAGATGTGCAGGTGAACGAGCCTCTGATAGTGTGGCTGATGTGATTAGGCCCTATGATGGTGTCCCCTGAATAGATATGTGGACACGGTTGGCAACAGGCTTTGTTGCAAGGATAGGTTCCTGGGTTAGTGTTTTTGTTGTGTGGTTGCTGGTGAATATTTGCTTCAGGTTGGAGGGCTGTCTGTAAGCAAGGACTGGCCTGTCTCCCAAGATTTGTGAGAGTGATGGGTCGTCCTTCAGGATGGGTTGTAGATCCTTGATGATGCGCTGGAGAGGTTTTAGTTGGGGACTAAAGGTGATGGCTAGTGGCATTCTGTTATTTTCTTTGTTGGGCCTGTCCTGGAGTAGGTAACTTCTGGGTACTCTTCTAGCTCTATCAATCTGTTTCTTCACTTCAGCAGGTGGGGTATTGTAGTTGTAAGAATGCTAGAGATCTTGTGGGTGTTTGTCTCCGTCTGAGGGGTTGGAGCAAATGTGGTTGTATCGTAGAGCTTGGCTGTAGACAATGGATTGTGTGGTGTGGTCTGGATGAAAGCTGGAGGCATGTAGGTAGGCATAGTGGTCAGTAGGTTTCCGGATAGGGTGGTGTTTATGTCGCTTATTAGCGCCGTAGTGTCCAGGAAGTGGATCTCTTGTGTGGACTGGTCCAGGCTGAGGTTGATGGTGGGATGGAAATTGTTGAAATCATGGTGGAATTCCTCAAGGGCTTCTTTTCCAGGGGTCCAGATGATGAAGATGTCATCAATGTAGCGCAAGTAGAGTAGGGGCGTTAGGGGACGAGAGCTGAGGAAGTGTTGTTCTAAGTCAGCCATAAAAAAGTTGGCATACTGTGGGGCCACGCAGGTACCCATAGCAGTGCCGCTGATTTGAAGGTATACATTTTGTCCCCAAATGTGAAATAGTTATGGGTAAGGACAAAGTCGAAGTTCAGCCACCAGGTTTGCCGTGACATCATCGGGGATACTGTTCCTGACGACTTGTAGTCCACCTTTGTGTGGAATGTTGGTGTAGAGGACTTCTACATCCATAGTGGCTGGGATGAATCTTGCAGTCCCCTCTGGGAAAGCACAGGAGGTTCATCAGTGGGAAAAGCTTCTGCCCACATAGGCCTCTTATCTCTTCTCCAGAGTTATATGGTGGTAAAAGGCTCTCCCTGGCTCCACCATAATCAGGATTGGGAGAGGAAGAGACTTACAGATGAAGATGCCTCAGGAGTAGTTCTGCTTCTGAGGCAAGTTCTCCCTCAGGCAAGCCTCCTGTCCACCAGAACAAGTTGGGCCAAGATGACCACTGTGGAGAATGAAGGTCTCTCAGAGACAAGGGTGACTCACCATGCCTCAATCCATCTTGAGCCTCGCCTCTGGCTCCCCACACAGTGGTGCATGGTGGGCTGCTGGAAGTGAGACAAAAGTAGCATTGGGAGCCTTGACTTGGCTCTCTGTTGTACCGGACAGGTACAGTATAGGCAGTCCAGTCGCTGTAGGACTATACCTTGTCAGGTATTTTAGGCTCTCCCAGCAGCCAACACAGGCCCATTCCCTCCCTGGTACTTCATCCCAATGGACACTTTTGCTCCTTAAGAAGGCCCCTACATGTACCCCTCCACAACCTGGCATGCACAAGGCTTCATTGCTGAACACAGGTATGCTGGTATACAACTATGTTAGGGTTTTGTACTGCCACCCATCACGGCAGGATAAGTGCAAGTGTCATTTTTACGGTGGAAAAGCCTTTTCAAAGAGGAAGGGTCTGCAGCATTTCCTAAAGATGGGCCGACTTCACCTAATCTCTTCTGGAAATCTGTTCCAGAGTAAGTTTCCTTGACTGAGAACATTTTGTCCACAGCTCTTGGAGGATTCATCTTCATTTTTGTGATTTGTAATGTCCTACGAGAGATTCACAGAGCAAAATTCAGTCTCTGACGTTGCTGGTGCTTGATCTGTTAGGTGCTTTGAAAATTAGGGGCAAAAAGACAAATTGTTACCAGAAGCTGCCTGGGAGCCACTGGAGGGATTTAAGCATGGGGCTGATATGCTCATGTCCAAAGCCATGGAGAATAGGCAGCTACACCCTATACTGCCTGGAATTTGTGAATTGTCTTCACAGCATCAGAGAATAAAAGTAAATTACAGAAAATTGAAGATATATGAAGAGTACATATTAAATATAGGAACTAAATCCAAACATTAAAATACTAAAGTTCCTCTATTTTGTACTTTAAACACAAATCCTACTATTGATCTGGAATGTACCTCTATATTTCAGATCAGAACCTAGTTAATGGGGAGTAAATCTGAATGAGTACTGCTGAGATACTTTTACTCCACACTGTCCAATACTTTCAAGTTACAGCTATCTGGGTTCTGGTATTAACCCTATGAACATGTTAATTTCTGAGTTCCCCCAAAAGTCAACCCGCGGCCACCGCTCATCCTCTCTTACTAGTAAGATCCAAGATTAAAATAATAGAATAGATGAGTAAGGCACAATTGTCACATGTTTATGGGTAAGAAGATAATAGTACATGTTGCCCATTGTCCAGAAGACCTCTTACCTGAGCCTATAAATAGTAAAGAGTTGGGTTTTGCATTTTATTTTGGAGATTGAGGTTAAACAGTCCTTGTTTCATCTGAGAGGATGACTTGGTTGGGCTTCCGTGGAGGTTCAATCTTCCCTACTCATGACTATCCCTCGATTGGTTGACAGTTTCACTGCGCTAGTGCACTGGAGATGTTGAGAGAAGGCAGAGTCAGAGAGTAGTCGTCTCATATAGATAGGATCCTATTCAAATAAGCATTTTGACAGTCAAGAGACCTTGAACTAGGCTGTGTTCATTACACAGCCAGCATAGAGTAGTGAAGAGGCCTGTGGTAGAAAGTAGCCAAGCTAGGGTGTCCTGAATCAGCTGGATGTTTGTCAAGAAATTAAAATTCATTCCCTGACAGAGAATTGTTGTAGTTAAGCCCTGATGTTAGAAATGGATAGATCACCACAGAAAAAGCTCACACCTGGTCAGATGGAAATGGACATACCTTCCCCCCCTAGTAGCTAGATGGGTACTGCAATGGAGGCTAATAAGAACCCTAAGATTGTGGGCCAATTTAACAATAAGAGGGCAAATGTCTCAATAATTTGAGCAGTTATGGAGGAGAGAGTTTCTTAGTACTTCTTAGCTTCATCATCTCAGTGTTGCTCTTCCCATTCAAGATAGGAGGCAGCACAGGCTAAGCATCACATAAATGAGATCTAGAGCTGAGTGTTAAACACCTATGGTGGCACTTCCAGTCCAGACCATCACAAGCTCTCCCAGGTCCCTGATTTGTTCGGGGCTGAAGAAAACCAACCACCCCTTAGAAGATGGGCAATTATATAATCAATTGAATTTGAAAGATTAAAAGCAAAGTAATTTTATGGTATACCATTTATTTTAAGAATTAATAAGAGTACAAGTAACCCTCCGGTGTAGTGCATGTGCACATGGGCACCATGCTGATGCACATGCTCTGTCAATTGCTAGAGTATGTACACGTCTAATTTGCACTGAAAAGTTGCAAAATTGGAGAAAATAGCTTTAATAAGATTTCAGTTTTAAGGTGACCAGAGTAACAAAATCAAATAAAAAAAGATTTGAGAAGAACACTTGTGTCTTTGCAGTACCGTGCTCCTTTACGTTGTAAGTTTAGGCAAGAGGATGTGCTTTTGTAGTTAAAAATTCAACCCCCACATGCATGCCTCGTCCTTCCCTTTCTTATCCTCCTCATTCCCTTCAGCTTGACAGTTCGTATTTAAAAATTGACATTGCAAGGTATACATTTCATTATGTATTGAACTGATAATATCAGCACTGAATTGTTATCAGTACTAGGCAGGCTAAGAGAAATGTTGACCAAAAAGTAAAAATTGAAACCTTTGGGATTTAGGAATATGCAATCAATTTGGTTTTTTCCACCCAAACTGAATTGGAATATAAGATGACTAAAATAAATGGACTACTTCTGATTGGTCAAATTAATAGTTTTATTTCCATCTGTTAAAGAATTATTTGTCTACCAGTAGAGTCCAAAGTAGATCTGACATACAGACATGAATACAATTAAATACAGGAAAATTTGAACTATATACAATGACAAGTGAAAAACATACATTTACATAATCAAAAAAATCTTTATATTATCTATCAGTTCTTGCAAATGTCATGAGCTATACTGAGCCACTGCCTTTACTGGAAATTAAAATATATCTATTTCAAGTTTTTTAAAATTATAATGCAACTTTAACATTTGCCATTTTGATATTGAAAGTTTAAAATTTGTTTTCAAGTACACAAAACGTGGCACTTAATAGGGATCACAAAAGTTAAAAACTTTTGTTGTTGAATATTCTACAGTTTGTAGTATCTAAAGTCCAAGTAGGTTTATATATTGATATGCAAGCTGTAAAGAGATATTTACACGGTGGAAACTGTGCAAAAACACAATTCAAGCTAGGGCTAGTACTCAAATTAAAGATCTAGGGACATGCTACTCAACCACGACCCCAGACTTAATCCCTTACATTTATATGCTCTTATTGCCTTCCCTGTACACAGTAGTTTAGGTATGATGGCTCATATCTGAGAACCATTTACCTTAATTTATTTAGAAACTATTGGGAGGTTTTAATAGTCGAGTGTATGTGGTCCTAACTTACTAGACAGCATCATGGTGGTCTGCTTTTTCTGCATGTGACAGATGCTTCCGAACAATCTGAAGAGAATAAAGCTCTTGCTCAGTTTGTCTTCCAAGACATGGAAGAAAAAAAAATCCCACAGGTTCTTCTATAAACATGATACAGAAATTAATTGCACTGTCCTGAAAATATTTTAGGAAAGTCTTCGTTCAGCACTAGGTTTAAATAATTCAGTGTAAGTGAAAGCAATTACTGGCGATTATATCCTTTTAATATGTAGAGAGTATTGCCAGGGTGCATAGGTTACAGTACAGCAGGCTTTTCCATGTAAAAAACTCTGATTATATAAGGATCAGAGGAGCGCAAGTATTACATTTCTCCTGGGTCAGTAACCATACTGCTACATACAGGCCATATTCTGCACACTGAAGATTCTACAAAACATTGTGTAGTCTTGGCTAGACACCTCTTCAAAGTTTAATTGGCTAACTAGAGCAGGTTCTTTCATTTAAAATAATCCATTCTCCCAATGATGGAGTAATAAGATACTACTACTTATTATCTGTGTTAATTACATACCTCTTGAAATTCTCTTTTTGGAAGTTGGGGGGGGGGGGGGGAAAGAAGGGGTAAAAAGAAAGTCTGAAAAATGTATTCTAACAGTCTTCAAAGTAGCTGGCAGTTTATTTTTTTTCATGTTTCACAGACTAACCTCCAGTTTTAAAGATGCCTTGGTAGATATTGTTATTATATTGTGGAACAAAACATCGGCCCAAGTGTCAGGTATGTACAGAGATCATAGAAAACTGATGTTAACATCTTGCCTACATATAGAACTATTACAGTTAAATGCATCAACTCACCGAGGCATCATATCTCCTTGTAATTTTGTGCTGAAATAAAAATTCTATTTTATAGCATTCAGCACTGAACAGTATTAAAGCAAGAAATCATCTCACCACAGATTAGGAAACATTTCAATACTGCGATTCAAATCAAGTAATTCTTGGGCAGTTAAGGTACACCAGAAATGAAATATTTTCACATTCATATTATGAAAGTTTTAATTTGGCTATGTACTCTAAACCTCATGGAGCCCATAAATATAGGTCTGCATATTCAAGACTTCTAGTTACAGAAAGGTTAGTTGCTGGCTAATGGCATATTAGTTCAATGCATTACCCTGGTATACAATTTAATATTGCATTAAGTTTTTGCCTATCACAAAACTCATTCTAGTTGGACTAACTGCACTTCAGGTAAGACTACATGCTTTAGCAGCAGGGTGCTCTCCAGTAACTTGCTGCCTGCCACCTACATCATGATAAAGATTCAAATGAAAGCATTTATTCATACTTGTAGGCAATGTAACTTCTTTATCTGGGCGGAAGGGGGAAGGTGAGGTGTAATTAAAAGCATTTAAGAAATAGAAAAAAATATATATATATATCCAGAACTCAATTTCAAGCACTTGAAAAGAAGCAAAGGGAAACAGAACATCAGCTGCTTCATTGGTGACACATACCGACCTGTGTTTGCAGACCTTCAAGAACTGTTAACACGAACAAGTGACAAAACAAGAAGCTATTTTGGACAGTATGACTGGACCATATGAAAGCTGTTTAGATATGCACAAGTTAATTCTCAAAAAATCCGTTTTACTACAATTGGGTGGGCATACAACCTGTTGCTCCTTTAATCTTCAAGGCATCACAAATGCATGACATTTTCACCAAGATCCAGTTGAGGCTGTCCTGAGAAGAATTCAAAGTGCTTATATATAAATTGGATGGTACTGTTTGTGATTGAGTTTTTTCCTACAAGTTGGGCAAGAGTTAGCATTTCTAAGGGAGTCACGGAGGCACTGACTACAGAAGACATGGCCACATTTGGTTGACACGATAAGTCGTCCACTTTGTACAATCTGAAAGAGAAGAAACTATAAAGCTGAAGTCCATGGGAAAGAAACTCAGCTTTGCACAAGAGCAATATTGATTACATAACACAACCGTGTAAGAGCAAATCTTTGCAATCCATAATATTTCGGTGACTTTAGCGCTGTTTATTCAAGACTTAACATGGAAACATGTATTGTCATCAGCTGGCTCTCAAGAGCAAGCTTCCCTTAACAAATATACTGCCAGATATGATGTTTTTATGACATATGGCTCAACATATCAGATTTCAATTACCATTTCAATACTTGCAAAATTTAGCAATTCAGAGTCTTAGTCACTAGGAGCAGTCAGTGAGGTACTGTTGTTTAGTAGCATGTTTGTCGCAACTTGAGAATGGAAAGGTCTACTAACGCAGGTAGTAAAGGAATATTAGAAATTGAAATACGCTACATCATCATAATTACATTAGTCTTCTATTAAGGAAACTGAATATCCTACAGAAGCTCCTGGAGAAGATGTTATCACCCTTATGCACTGACTTAAAAACTAAGATTTTCTCTAATGTGTACAATAGTTTGACTCTCCAAATACAACTAGCTAACAAGTGTAGTGATTCTGTACCTCACATTTTAATTCTCCTTTCAGTGGAACAAAAAATATTGTAGACAAGGTGTAGATTCTTACCTCTGAGTATCCATCCATGCAAATTGGACAACTAACGGTACCTGAAGGCCTAAAAAACCCCCAAAACAATATGTTAGTTCCATTATGCACTGGAAACTTCAGACAATAATATCTGGTTATTTTGTGTCCTAGAGTTTGCCTCAGGCAAGAACCTCTCCTCTTCCTCACACTCAAGAAACTTGGCTTTAGGCCAACTTCTATTATACTGAATCAAAGGCTCACATGGGGTGTGCTCATATTAGGCTCTCAATTTGTTACATTAATGAGATTAGGCACTCCTACACCTCACAGGAGAAGGCCCTTATTTTCATTCATCCTCTTCATGTTTACCATTTCTTCTCCCTCATCCCCACTGTAACTGTCCTAATAACAAAGAAGTAACTTTTGAAAATAGTGATAACTTACAGCACTGTACAGGATACACATAGCATATAGAAGGGTACAGCAGTCTCCAGAAGATTTTTGGAACAGAGTTCACAATTCTAAGAACTCTAAGTTCCTTGCAGAAGCATATTGTAAAAGGTTAACTGAATTACTCCAAGTTCTTTCACTGTAGAACAGCATGCAAACATTTCAACTCCAAATCCCTCTGCTGGCTGAGGCTCACCACATCATCTCACATACCAAGCAACAAAACCACATAAGCTATTATTAAATAAGAAATAAATAAGCAAAAAGAAGGGGGAGGGAGGGTGCTCATGAACTTCCTGAGTATGAATTGAGTTATCATGGAGAACACAATAAAGCCTGCTTGACATTTTTATTTATTGTTTTTTTTAACATCTGTTGAGTTTCCACTGTAGATATTTTCACCAGTGGTTGTACTGCTGAAATTGATGGCAGGTTAGACTTTATTGTGATTAGTGATAACATGTTAGAGTACAGGCACATATTGGAGTGTAACACCACTTAGGGTGGATAAAAATTGATTAAAATTTTTTTAAAAAAATTTAAAACACTGGTGTATTTTTAAAAACAAACCTATTTGAAATTAATACAACCTATGTTAAGGCCTAAACTTCTTAGAATCATTTATATTAAATGCAAAATTAATATTAAGCAGTACATTTCCTGCCAAGTTTTAAAGGAAGTTAACCACTGAACTGGTGGAAGCCACTGGCAAAACATCTGAAATTAGTGTTTGTTGAAGTGCTAAGCTCTTGACAGCACTTAGTCTCGCTGCACTTGCAGAAGAGGTTGTTTTTGTCATTTCAGTTTATTCAACTAGCTCACTTTAGTGACTAGTTCATTCAAAGTTAAGAAACCAATCAGGGGTGGTAAAAGCAGGAAATCTTGTTTTCTTCTTCCAATCTTTGAATAAAAAGTAGGTGTGAGAGGAGGCGTCTACTAGTTCTAAAAAAATCTTCTAGGAAATGGTGACCAGAAACAATCAATCAGTTCACTTCATCAACTACAGACACATACTTCCCCTTTGTTTAATATATCAGTTAAATTTTAAATGCAAAACAAGTCGATAAATATGTTGAATAAGCTTTTTTTTTATGTAAGGTAATTTAATAAACATTTGAAATGCTGTTTTTGTGCATTCTGAATTGAGTTTAAATTTCCATCCAGAGATGGACACAAATCACAAGTTAAAAAGAAATCACCTAGTAAATAAGGCATCATTCACCATTTTCTAACAATAAAAAATATAAAAATAGAGAATCTGTATAGAAGTAGAGTTAAGCTATAATTACTTAAATAAACATGCATAGAGTATTTCCTCCGGGTAAGCAAAAGGAAACACCAAATTTAGTGTCAAGGCTATATTTCATTTCAAATAATAATTTAATGATTACCAACTAATGAGAAAAACAAGCATAAAGTAAAAGTGCAAAACACAATTACAATAGATTTAAAATGAAATCTTCCTATTTGCTGATATGAATCATGATTAAAATCAGTGATTTATATCAATTCATCCTGACCAGGACAAGTTATGTCACTAGTACCCAGCTTCATAGAAGGTTGATAGCTCTAGGGATGGCAGAACACAGAAGCATTTAGATGTGTGCTCTCCTTGTCCATTATATTTAGCAATTTCAGATCTACACTTAGCCCTCGTCTACACTACGAAAATTTAGGTCGAATTTAGCACAGTTAGATTGATTTAAACATGTACCCGCCCATATGACAAAGCCATTTCTGTCGACTTAAAGGGTTCTTAAAATCGATTTCTGTACTCCTCCCCAACGAGGGGAATTTACGCTGAAATAGACATCACTGGGTCGAATTTGGGGTAGTGTGGATGCAATTTGACGGTATTGGCCTCCGGGAGCTATCCTAGAGTGCACCATTGTGACCGCTCTGGACAGTGCTTTCAACTCAGATGCACTGGCCAGGTACACAGGAAAAGTCCTGGGAACTTTTGAATTTCATTTCCTGTTTGGTCAGCGTGGCGAGCTCATCAGCAGAGGTGACCATGCAGTCCCAGAATCACGAGAGCTCCAGCATAGACCGAATGGGAGGTACTGGATCTGATCACTGTATGGGGAGAAGAATCCTTGCTATCAGAGCTCCATTCCAAAAGATGAAATGCCAAAATATTTGAAAAAAGCCTCCAAGGGCATGATGGACAGAAACTATAGCAGGGACCTGCAGCAATGCCGCATGAAAATTAAGGAGCTCAGGCAAGCCTACCAAAACGGCAAATGGCCACTCCGGGTCAAAGCCCCAAACATGCCGCTTCTATGATGAGCTGCATGCAATTCTAGGGAATGCCCCTACCACTACCCCACCCCTGTCCGTGGACACCTACAGAGGGGGAGTCTCACACAACAGGGATGAAGATTTGGGGGATAAGGAAGATGAGGAGAGCGCACAACAGGCAAGCAGAGAAACCATTCTCCCCGACAGCCAGGAACTGTTTATCATCTTGGAGCCAATACACTCCCATGGTGGGCTCCCGGACCATGAAGCCAGAGAAGGCACCTCTGGTGAGTGTACCTTTGTAAATATAATACATGGTTTAAAAGCAAGCGTGTTTAATTATTAATTTGCTCTGAAGACTTGGGATGCATTCATGGCCAGTACAGTACAGCTACTGGAAAAGTCTGTTAACGTGTCTGGGGATGGAGTGGAAATCCTCCAGGGACATTATTAAGGGGACATTCAGAGGTGGCCGTTCCTGCTGGGCTGTTTGCCTGTGGCTGAAAAGAAATCATCCCCGCTTTTAGCCACGTGGTTGGGGCGGGGCCTATTCACTCTGAGCTGTTTGCGTTTGGCTGGCGGTAGGAGGAGGGGTGAATGGATCATCCCAGAGAATTGGGGGAACGGGTTAGTTGGGTTTGTGCTGCACGTTAACCCGAAAACTGCAGCCACTCCTTTTAAATGGCCAACCCACCAGGTGCTTGGTATGGGAAAGGAGGGCGCTGCTATTTGAAACCATTCCCACATGTTATGAAGGTTGAAGAAGCCGAAAGACTGTGGCTTACCATGGCTGCCTGCAAGCTGAATTCTGTTGCCCGGCCCTGTGTGTATGATCTCTCACACCAAACCGTCAGGCCCTCAATATAAGAGGAAAGATGCGACCTTGTACTGAAAGCACATGTGCTGTGTAATGTTAACAGCTTGGTTCACCGTGAAAGAGTCTACCCATTGTTCTCTAAAAATGTGTCTCTTTAAATACTACTCTCCCTTTTTTTCCCCTCCTACAGCTGCAAATGTTTCAACGCTCCCCCTATCATCTCCGTCCCAGAGGCTAGCGCCAATCAGAAGGTGAAAAAAAACGCTCTCACAATGAAATGTTCTCTGATCTCATGCAGTCCTCCTGCACTGAAAGAGCTCAGCAGAATGCGTGGAGGCAAACAATGGCAGAGTCCAGGAAAGCAGAAAATGAACACGAGGACAGAAAGGACAAGCAAGATGAGAGGTTGCGGGAGCAAGAGTAAGATGGCGGCAGCGTGACGAGAGGAGGCAGGATGCAATGCTGAGGTTCCTGGGGGATCAAACTGATATGCTCCAGCATCTGGTGGAGCTGCAGAAAAGGCATCAGGAGCACAGACCACCGCTACAGCCCATGTAACTGCCTGTCCTCCTCCCCAAGTTCCATAACCTCCTCACCCAGACGCCCAAGAACGTGTGTGTGTGTGTGTGTGTCCGGGCACCCAATCACTCCACCCCAGAGGGCTGCAACAGAAGGCTGGCATTCAATAAGTTTTGAAGTGCAGTGTGGCTTTGTCCTTTCCTCCTCCTCTCATCCACCACCCCACCCAGCGCTTCCCTCCTCCCCCACCCCTCCCGGGCTACCTTGGCAGTTATCCCCCTATTTGTGTAATGAATTAATAAAGAATGCAGGATTTTGAAACAATGACTTTATTGCCTCTGCAAGCAGTGATCAAAGGGGGGAGGGCGGTTGGATTACAGGGAAGTAGAGTGAACCAAGGGGGCGGGTTTTCATCAAGGAGAAACAAACAGAATTGTCACACCGTAGCCTGGCCAGTCATGAAACTGGTTTTCAAAGCTTCTCTGATGTGCAGTGCGCCCTGCTGTGCCCTTCTAATCACCCTGGTGTCTGGCTGCATATAATCAGCGGCCTGGCGATTTGCCTCAACCTCCCACCCCGCCATAAACGTCTCCCCCTTACTCTCACAGATATTGTGAAAAGCACACAGCAAGCAGCAATAACAATGGGAATATTGGTTTTGCTGAGATCTGAGTCAGTAAACTGCGCCAGAGCGCTTTTAAATGTCCAAACGCACATTCTACCGCCATTCTGCACTTGCTCAGCCTAGAGTTGAACAGCTCCTGATTACTGTCCAGGCTGCCTGTGTATGGCTTCATGAGCCATGGCCTTAAGGGGTAGGCTGGGTCCCCAAGGATAACTATAGGCATTTCAACATCCCCAACAGTAATTTTCTGGTCTGGGAAGTAAGTCCCTTCCTGCAGCTGTTCAAACAAATCAGAGTTCCTGAAGATGCGACCATCATGTCCCTTTCCTGGCCATCCCACGTTGATGTCGGTGAAACGTCCCTTGTGATCCACTGTGCTTGTAGCACCATTGAAAAGTACCCCTTGCGGTTTACGTACTGGCTGCTAAGGTGGTCCGGTCCCAAGATAGGAATATGCATTCCGTCTATCACTCCACCACAGTTAGGGAATCTCATTGCACCAAAGCCATCCACTATGACCTGCACATTTCCCAGAGTCACTATCCTTGATAGCAGCAGCTCAGTGATTGCGTTGGCTACTTGGATCACAACAGCCCCCACAGTAGATTTGCCCACTCCAAATTGATTTCCAACTGACTGGTAGCTGTCTGGCATTGCAAGCTTCCACAGGGCTATCGCCACTCGCTTGTGAACTGTGAGGGCTGCTCTCATCTTGGTATTCTTGCGCTTCAGGGCAGGGGAAAGCAAGTCACAAAGTTCCATGAAAGTGCCCTTATGCATGCAAAAGTTTCGCAGCCACTGGAAATCGTCCCAGACCTGCAACACTATGTGGTCCCACCAGTCTGTGCTTGTTTCCTGGGCCCAGAATCAGCATTCCATGGCATGAGCCTGCCCCATTGTCACCAGGATGTCCAAATTGCCGGGGATCGTACTTTGAGAGATGTCTGTGTCCATGTCCTCATCACCACGCTGCCGTCGCCTCCTCACCTGCTTTTGCAGGTTCTGCACATACTGCAGGATAACGTATAAGGTGTTTACAATGCTCATAACTGCTGCGGTGATCTGAGCGGGCTCCAGGCCTGCCGTGGTATGGCGTCTGCAGGAGAGCAGAGTTCCAGTGGAAGCGGTGGCTGACGACAGATGCCATGAGAACAGATATTTATAGAGAACGAAGAGAGGACCTCAGAGGCGGAATCATGAGAGCAGGAGAGCAGAGTTGCAGTGGAAGTAGTGGATGACGACGGTTAGCACCGTGCACATTTCCCGAGGAAGAACACATGTACTTCGGAGCCCATGACAGACAACATGGAGAAATTCGCTATTGAGACAATAGCAGCAGAGCAGAGTTGCAGTGGAAGAGGTGGATGACGACGGTTAGCAATCCTACTGCACCGTCTGCTGAAAGCAGTATGGCGTATGCATGGAAAAAAGGCGCAAAATGATTGCTTTCATGAAGGGAGGGGCGACTGACGACATGTACCCAAAACCACCCGTGACAATGTTTTTGCCCCATCAGGCACTGGGAGCTTAACCCAGAATTCCAATGGGCGGTGGAGACTGCGGGAACTGTGGGACAGCTATCCACAGTGCACCGCTCCATAAGTCGATGCTCGCCACGGTAGTGAGGATGCACTCCACCAACTTAATGCGCTTAGTGTGGACATACGCAATTGACTGTATAAAGTCGATTTCTAAAAATCGACTTCTATAATATTGACCTTATTTTGTAGTGTAGACATACCCTTAGACACAAGATGACACAAGAACTTACAGTTCTCAAGTAAGCCATATTATTGTCTTGCATAGGAGATTTTTAAAAAGTGATCCAAAATAAACTGGGAAAATAACAAAATAAAAGATGGACAATTTCTGATTAACACCAACATTCTGTCCTAGGAAAGGATTCCCCACTATGCTACTGACCCCTGTACATTGCTACAGCAGTTCACAGGGCTTTAAAAGTGCCATAACTGTCTTGGGATGGGAGGGAATTGTCCAGGCACAGGCACTACCTACAACAGCCACAGGCTGCCCTATTCAGCCTCCCAGCAAGTCCCAGAAAAGGGGCTATGGCAGGGGCAGAAAGAGGAATGGCCAGGATGGGGTGATGGAGTTCCCAGGGCAAAAGAAGTACGCTGGACCTTTTGTGAGTTCTTCTCATCACAATTCATCTTGCTTTATATATGGAAGTCCTCAGCCACCGAAGTGTATATGGCTATAAACTACCTGAGAGGTAGGTAGAATAGCGGATTTGTACATTAGCATTTAAACTCTGACTCAAGACAAAGGTAGTTTCATGGTCTTATTCCATTAAGCAATGCTCAAGCTATCTACTATCCCAAATAATGTAAACTCGTGCAGTTGTCTGGTGACCAACTGATTCCAGTAGTTGGGGGAGCCTGATTTGTAGGTCAGAAGTGATTTTTTGGCATTTTTATAAGTTTGCCCAATGGTTACTTGCAGCCATTGTAGTTTCCCCCATGATTCAGTGAGCACTGAATTCACATCACACGCAAAGCTACATGCTGATCCTCAAAGTTTGAATCACCTCATTGGCAGTGTTCAGACATATCTAACACTATCATTCTCTTCAGCATTAATTTGAGGGGGCTGCCCAATCAGTTTCCTGCCTAAAAATTGTACCACTTCAGGAGCTCAGACCTGTTATGTCTTGCCTGATCTATTGCCTTCAAACAAAGAGTTTTTAGACCTCAAGATATTTTATGCCGCTTTTCAGCCTCTGACCTACAGCTTCCACCTGCTGATCTCTGAGCCAGAGAAGAAATGTTAAAAGCAGTAATATGCAGATTTATATAGGTGAGGGGAAAGAAAAATGTGTAATACAGAATTAAAGACTGCACTATCCTACCTGGCAGGTTTAGTGAAGGGTGCTCTCAGAGAAAAAAGTTGAAATGTTTTCCCAAAAAAGTAGTTTTCAAAGTCAGAGCACTAATAAGGGATCCCTAAAAAGAGAGGTCACATGGAGATGGCTAGCTAGCTCACTTATAAAAAAACCAAATATTAAATGTGTCTCTATAGGTTTTAAATCTAAAACTATCAGGGGAAGACAAGAGAGGGCTGCTTAATCTTGAAGTCATCAGCACCCTCATTCTCCTCTCATCCCCTTCTTTTGGGAATCAGTGGGCATTAGTTCTTGAAGGGCCCAAAAATTTAAAAGCTCTGCAGGATGAAGGATCCTTTTTGCATTTGTGGACATTGAAAGAAAGATTTATTTTCAAATAATATGGAAAGCCTGTGATACTGTAATTATATTTCTATGATACACTGAAGTTTTTATTATAATCTTGGCATATTCTAATCAAAGAAAGGAGGAAAATGAGAACAGCTAAAGTGTATTTTATTAATTATTGCACATTAGCTTAATTCAGCAACTCAAATTGGGATTCCGATGGTAGACAGATGACTAGATTCAGTCTCAGGGCTGTAATGACATTAAATGATTCTTGTGATAAACTCTATGTGTACCCTTTAAGCACATATTCCTTGTTTTACCCCAAGGTAAATGTATATGAATTATGCTTGTACCTGGGTATTTAAAGAACTAGCTGAAGCAATCTCATGGAGGATGGGTGAGGTCCCAGAAGGTGGGGGAGGGAGGGAAGAAAAAAAAGAATTATATATATATATATATATATATATAAATAAATAAATTCTAAGATAGATACTATAAGAGGACCTGCAGAGTTATAGCCCAGTCAGCCTAACCTCGATATCTGGAAAGATACTGGAACAAATTAAACAATCAATTTATAAACACCCGACGGATAACAGGGTTATAAGAATTAGCCAGCATGGATTTGTCAAGAACAAATCATACCAAACCAACCTATTTTCCTTCTTTGGCAGGTCTAGTGGATATGAGGAAGCAGTTTAAGTGATACATCTTGAGTTTAGTAAGGCTTTTGATACAGTCCCAACATGACATTCTCATAATCAAACTAGAGAAATGTGACCTAGATGAAATTATGGTGGGTACATAACTGGTTGAAAGACCATACTCAGAGTAGTTATCTATGGTTTGCTTTTAGCAATGTCAGACTAGGTGTGTGTATCTACTGGGGTTCTGGAGGGGTCAGTCCCGAGTCCAGTACTATTCAATATTTTCATTAATGACTTGGATAATGGAGTAGAGAGTATACTTATAACATTGCGGATGATGCCAAGCTGGGAGGGGTTGCAAACACTTGGGAGAATAGGATTAGCAGGAAAAGTGACCATGACAAATTGGACAATTAGTCTGAAATCAACATAATGAAATTCAATAAAGATAAGTAACAAATACAACAACAATTAAGAAGGAAAAATCAAATGCACAGCTACAAAATGGAGAATAACTGGCTACACACTGGTTATAGTGGATTACAAATTGAATGAGCCAACAATGTGATGCAGTTGAAAAAAGGCTAATATTTTGGGTTGTATTAACAGAACTGTTCTATGTAAGACATGGGAGGCAACTGTCCCACTCTACTTAGCACAGCTGAGGCCTAAAATGGGAGTACTGTATCTAGTTTTGGCTGCCACACTTGACAAAGATGAGGAGAAATTGGAAAGAGTTCAGAGGAGAGCTGTAAAAGGCATAAAAGGTTTAGAAGAAAAATCGTGGTGGGTATTTTTACTTCCCGTAGGACATCAGTGAAAATAGTTACCTACCTCACTGTGGTCCTTGAGCTTTGTATGAAAGAACAATGCTGTAAGTTACAATTTGTGGCTTTTGATTAGCATTTCCTCTTGCCACTTCTCTAAATTGTGTCTTCAGTTGACTTGTAATCCAAAAAAATAAGCCAGGTATCATTGTCTCCATATTTAAATATATTATTCCATTTTTTCCTTATTTCAATAGCAGCTTTAATATTCCCATTCTCTCATAAATGAGAAGATATGAAACTTTAGAATAGGTTAACAGTGTCAAAAAGGAGACTAAGCCACATACAGGATGCCACCACACTACTCTTTTTCAGTATGACAAGGTTTTTGATTTTTTTACATATTACATTTTATATGTCCACAGGAAGTTGCATAGGGTACATACCTTGAACTTGCAGTTTCATCCTCCAGTGTTTCTAAATCTCCAGACACCTTGTTTGTTACGTATACATCATTATCTCTTGATTCATCTTCATCATCACTACTTAATACACAGCTGTCAGATTGCCGTTGGCTTCTTAACCCTAGATTTCTCCGTTGACGTTGATTCTCTACAATTTAATTTTGTTAAATTAGGTGTATTTCCAGGATTTATAACGTTATTTCTCCAATGCATTAAATATGCACTGTTATAGGACTATTTAAATGGACAAATCTGTATTTAGTTTAACTGTTTAAAAACAAGTTTACTTGTGAAACTTAATACTTCCAGCTACCCCAAAAAATACAGAATTGTATACTAAAACAGAATTTAGTCTGCTAATTTGCTCTTATTCCCAGAAGAACAGATATGGATCTTAGGCCTTTTCTACATGGGTAGATTTACCTTCACAATTATGCCAGTACCACTGTAGTTATATTAATGTATTATGCAGCTAAATTTCCCCATATAGACAAGTCCTTAGATTTGGCATCCTGTCACACATGTGAGAAGGAGGCTGCATTAAGCAGTTATTGTAAATAAATTAAAGTCTTCTTGGGGAAGAGGCAGGGGCTAACTTTACAACTAGCACAGCAAAAGTAAGGGATAAGCAATAAGAGAGCTTGGATAGCAGCATGCAGGTGGCTTTTTTAAAAACAGCATAACAAATTAGGAGTGGATGATAACCTTGCGGATTATATAAACTGCCTAAATCTAGGCTATTGGCTCCAATATTAAGTTGCAGCTCTTAAGGATTATCCATATGCACCACAGAGCCTTATTCATGTTACAGGGTTTTTAAGATATATTACAGATTTTGCTGGTAGCACTGTTACCTAATGCTTTCCTTTATAGATCTTATTTTCAGTTGTTTTTATTGCCAAACTAATCATTTGGGCTGAATTTTCCCATTCCATGCGTCTGATTCTGGACGAATATTTTAGAAAATTTCAGCAAAACAGTTTGACTATTTCTGAAAACAGGTTAGGGAACACAACCTTGAAGATTAAAAAAAAACTGTACACAGCTTCACTGAGAAACTCTATTGCCTTCATGCTTTGGAGTAGAGTATTGACATTTCACTGTGGGAGGGTGTGTGTGTGTGTGTTTGGTCACTGGTGTCACCAGTTTGGCTTTTGCCAGCTCAATGAACAATACACCCAAGTTTGTCCAATTTATAAATTTCTGAAAAAAAGTCTGTTTGCACATGCTTAGCAGAAGCTTGTTAGAGTTGGTACCGGAACTCTCAGGAGATTCCATTTAAACTGACCATACTTCATGACTAAGGCTATGAGTTTGTCATGAATTCCATGACCTCCGTGACTTCTGCAGCGGCAGGTGCAGCTGGCCCAGGGACCACCTGAGCAGCTCAGGCAGCCCCTGGGCCAGCCACACCAGCTGCTACTGGGGCAGTCTCAGGCCACCATGCCCTCCACCCCCAGCAGCAGCAGGAGTTCGGATGTGTGAGGGGGCTCAGGAGTGGGGGTTGGGGCATGGGAAGGGGTGAGGGCTCTGGGCAGCACTTACCTTGGACGGCTCCCCGGAAGCGGCGACATGTCGCTCCCTCAGCTCCTAGCTCCGCACGCTGCCTCCACCCACAGGCACCGCCCCCATGGTTCCCGGCCAATGGGAGCTGCAGAGCTGGCACTTGGGGAAGGGGCAGTGCGCAGAGCTGAGGGAGGGACATGCTGCTGCTTCTGGGGAGCTGTGAGGAGCCACGTAGGGAGTCTGCAAGCCCCATCAATCCCCATAAACTCCAAGCAGGGGGTCCTGCCCACTCCCCAATAAACACCCGCAGCACTCCCTGGGTCCCCCCACCCCGAGCACCCATGCAACACCCTAGACCGCCCCTCTTCCCCCAATATTTATTCAGGGGTATATAGTACAAGTCATGGACAGGTCACGGGCCGTGAATTTTTGTTTACTGCCCATGACCTCTCCATGACTTTTACTAAAGGTTATTTTTAGTCACGGGTATCTTCTTCATGACCACACAGCTCCAATGTGCTGACTGAACTTCCCATAAGCCATCGGCAGTTATCTCAAATTGCAGAATTCTGTACTGTGGATCTAAAGGGTCCTATCCTGTTAATGATGCAGTTAGGGACCATAATGGTCCCCAAAAAATGGAATTTTCTTGTTTGCCTTTTTTAAAATGTAGAAAATGACATAAAAACACGTCAAAAGAATGACAATGTTACAAAGTCAAGTGCTCAATAGTTCGGAAATGCCAGAATAAAGGTATAACCTTAATTCTGTCCCCTTCTGTACTCACATTATGATTCCATGCTTTTTCCATAGGATGTCTGCCTCAATCAGTGCACAGGAAAGACTGTGCTCACTGAATAAGCAGCTATTCAATATTTATTTTTACATGCATCATAACATCTTATTTATGACACTTCCTTTATATCTTGCCCTACATACAAAATGCTAAGTTTCATCATGGTCTTTTTCCATGACGCTCATCACGGTAGTATTGGTGTATGTCTCAAATGTTAATGAATTTGTCTTCACCAAATCCTGGTGAGATAAGATGGTATTATTGGCCTTATTTACCAGGAACTAAGGCAAACAGAAATTAAAGTCAAGAGCATCCACTAATTTTGGATAAGAACAGCCATACTGGGTCAGACAAAAGGTCCATCTAGCCCAGTACCCTGTCTTCCGACAGTGGCCAATGCCAGGGTCCCCAGAGAGAATGAAAAGAACAGGTATTCAAGTGATCCTTCCCCTGTTGCCCATTCTCAGCTTCTGGCAAACAGAGGCTAGGGAAATTATCCCTGCCAATCCTGGCTAATAGCCATTGATGGATCTATCCTCCAAGAATGTATCTAGTTCTTTTCTGAACCCTGTTACAGTCTTGGCTTTAACAATGTCCTCTGGAAAGGAGTTCCACAGGTTGACTGTGTGTTGTGTGAAAAAAATACTTCCTTTTGTTTGTTTTAAACCTGCTGCCTATTAATTTCATGTGGTAACCCCTAGTTCTTGTGTTAGGAGAAGGAGTAAATAACACTTCCTTATTTACTTTCTCTATACCAGTCATGATTTTATAGATCTCTATCATATCCCCCCTTAGTCGTCTCTTTTCCAAGTAGAAAAGTCCCAGTTTTATTAATCTCTCCTTCATATGACAGCAGTTCCATACCCCTAATCATTTTTGTTGCTCTTTTCTGAACCTTTTCCAATTTATCTTTTTTGAGATGGGGCAACCACATTGGCACGGAGTATTCAAGATGTGGGCGTACTATGGATTTATATAGAGGCAATATGATACTTTCTGTCTTATTATCTATCCCTTTCTTAATGATTCCCAACATTCCATTCAGTTTTTTGAATGCCACTGCACATTGAGTGGATGTTTTCAGAGAACTATCCACAATGACTCCAAGATCTCTTTCTTGAGTGGTAACAGCTAATTTAGACCCCATCATTTTATATGTATAGTTGGGATTATGTTTTCCAATGTGCACTACTTTGCATTTATCAACATTGAATTTCATCTGTCATTTGGTTGCCCAGTCACCCAGTTCTAAGAGATTCTTTTGTAGCTCTTTGCAGTCTGCCTGGGACTTAACTATCTTGAGTAGTTTTGTATCATGTGCAAATTTTGCCACCTCACTGTTTACCCCTTTTTCCAAATCATTTAGGAATATGTTGAAAAGGACTGGGCCCAGTACAAACCCCTGAGGGACACCACTATTTACCTCTCTCCAGTCTGAAAACTGACCATTTATTCCTACCCTTTGTTTCTTATCTTTTAACCAGTTACCAATCCATGAAAGGACCTTCCCTCTTATCCCATGACTGCTTACTTTGCTTCAGAGCCTTGGAAAGGCTTTCTGAAAATCCAACTACACTATATCCACTGGATCCCCCTTGTCCACCTTGTTGACCCCCTCAAAGAATTCTAGTAGATTGGTGAGGCATGATTTCCCTTTACAAAAACCATGTTGACTCTTCGCCAACAAATTATGTTCATCTAACAATACTGTTCTTTACTATAGTTTCAACCAGTTTGCCTGGTACTAAAGTCAGGTTTACCATCCTGTAATTGCCAGGATCACCTCTAGAGCTATTTTTAAAAATTGGCATCACATTAGCTATTCTCCAGTCATTTGGTACAGAAGCTGATTTAAATGACATGCTACAGACTATAGTTAGGAGTCCTGCAATTTCACATTTGAGTTCCTTCAGAACCCTATGGTGAATACCATCTGGTCCTAGTGACTTATTACTGTTTAATTGATCAATTTGTTCTAAAACCTTCTCTAATGACATCTCAATCTGGGATAGGTCCTCAGATTTGTCACCTAAAAAGAATGGCTCAGGTTTGGGAATCTCCCTCACCTCCTCAACTGTGAAGACCAAAGCAAAGAATTCATTTAGTTTCTCCACAATGGCCCTATCATCCTTGAGTGATCCTTTAGCATGTCGATCGTCCAGTGGCCCCACTGGCTGTTTAGCAGGCTTCCTGTTCTTATGTACTTAAAATTTTTTTTGAGATTACTTTTTGAGTCTTTGGTTAGCTATTCTTCTAACTGTTTTTTGGCCTTCCTAATTATATTTTTACACTTCATTTGCCAAAGTTTACATGCCTTTCTATTTTCCTCACTAGCTTTTAAATTCCACTTTTTAAAAGGATGTCTTTTTGCCTCTCACGGCTTCTCTTACTTTGTTGATTAGCAATGGTGGCTCTTTTTTGGTTCTCTTACTATGTTTTTTAATTTGGGGCATACATTTAAGTGGAGCCTCTATTATGGTGTCTTTAAAAAGTTTCCATGCAGCTTGCAGGGATATTACTTTTGATGCTGTACCTTTTAATTTCTGTTTCACTAATCTCATTGGTAGGATGCCCAACTTGAGACCCAAGGACCTGATTTTTCACACTATTCAGCATTTTATAGCACTGGGTATATTCAGAATAGAGGTTCCACTGACTTCAGTTGCAGCTGAGAGTGTTCAGCACATCCAGGAGTCAGGCCTCAACTATCACAGGTTGGGCACTTAGAAAATGAGCACACTATTAATGGCCACCTTTGTAAAATTTGGTTTAAGTAAATTCCACAGAATCAGATAAAGGTGGAATAGAATCAAATACTCCAGGGCAGCATTCAGTGCCATAGATCACGAGATTATCCTCTCTCCCTGGAGTCTTCTGCCTCATTCACTACATACATTTCAATTTCTGAAAGGCAAGAGGCAAAGGTCCAACAGACAACAGCATAATTTACCACTTAACCTTGATTCATTCCTGTTCATCATCATTCAGTGCACTGAATGAGACAGAGGTTCTGTGGAAAATGTATAATCTGATCAGGTAACTGAAAACTATCATACCTATGAACAAGGGGAGTGAAGAAAGATTGCACGGACAACTGTACTTTTGGCATTTCCTGACTTTGCAAACTTAATGTTCTTTTAAGTTTTGTGTCTGTAATATATGGAGTATTGAAATGAGCATTTCTCTATAAAGACTTTAGCAGAAAGCCGTAGTAGTGTCCCACCACATGTACATACACCAGGGGACTGTGAAGTCCAATTGGAGGGAGCATTTGAGATTTTGGCCAAGTTATTGCAGACCAACAAATTATTATATCTTCAAGTTTATTCTATTTTCCCAAACTATATCCACTACCATGTGTGGTAAAAGTGTTGAGAATTGTATCAAGGGACAAGAACAACATTGGGATTATTTCGTGAGATAAGTGCTGATACAGCACATTAAATCTTCAGGCTTTGTATTAAACTAGTAGTATAAACCCTGGGAGTGTTTCCTTAGCATGAGTACGTTGATTACCAGTAATTAAAAACAATACATTTGATTTGGTTTCACTGACTAGTTTAGTTTGACAATATAAGCAATATATGCCTGAAGACAAACAAGTGAGACAATTTTAAAGGGAGGCTGGTGGAAAGCATATTCTTGGTAGCAAGGTGTGCACATACCATACAGCATTACAAAATGGTCACAATTCTGTTATCAGTTGGGAATACATGAAACATGACTACTCACCTTCAACAATCTTGTATTAACAAGAGGGAGAGAAGAGAATAAAAAACCACAATTAGACTTTGTTGTGCACATATATGCATTATAGACAAACATCTCAAAAGACCATAGCTATGTTCATTCTTATTTGTTTGTAGTTGTATAAGCAGAGCCAGGAGGCATGAGGTAGAGCAATAATCATGTGAATTGCTGGAAACATGTCACCAGCTCTGGAAGTCAAGCTAATGGTGTTGGCCATGCACCCTCATGGAAGATAACGTAAAATCTTGTTGTGACTTAACAGTTCATCACCCGTACTACGGTAACAGATGCAAGCCATCAGTACTGTAGTTTGTTTTAAGTTGCAATTCTCAGTCAATATTAGGATTGAAAGCTCAACAAATTTAGAACCCCTTCAAAAAGGGATTAATTTTCCTCAGACAACTTGTGTGGGATTTTCAGAACTACTTCATTGACCTAACTTTATCACTTACATCAACAGGAGCAGAAATAGGCCAATGCTGAGTACTTTTGAAAATCCCACCCTTGTATCTCGTTCATCCGATAGCATTTTTTTCCTGTGCAGTTTGACTGCATCTACAGTGTACTATAACAAGTTTCTCAGTTTCCCATTAAACCTGAGTGCTGTATCATGAAACATGGTTTCTGTGCAATTGATATTGAATTTTGGGCTTTAAGACTTTTGTTGTAGTAAACTCTTTTTCCATATCTATATAGGTGAGCTTTTGTCTGTCGCATCGTACTACAAAAAATATGGTCAATTTAAAAAAAAAAAAAAACAAACAAAAAACCCCACATAAAGTTCAGCTCATTAGTCCATATTCTGACACCTCAAAAATGGCATATTTTCAAAAGTGATGAGCACCTAGTTAATGCATGTTCACAAGGCAGGACACTTAGGAAGGTGTCAAACTAAGGACCAATGAGCTGAACTTTAGGAATCCATTTTAAAGTTTTGGTCTACCATCTCTTTTCATTATGTCCCCAATTCTGGTCAGACTGACATTCAATATATCCATTTTGTTTGATGCACATATCTTGAAACAATGATAGTAGAAAATCCATTTCAATAAAATATTATTCAACATCTTAAACCCACAATCTTCCACATTTCTTTACTTCAAGCAGGTTACCAATATGCCCTTTCAGAAAGTCCTGACTATCCTCCACAAGTGCCTGACACAGTAGCGAAGCAAGTTTCCTCAAAGCGTTCGATTTAAAGTAACACTGACAGTACTCCATTATCGTTTAGGAACATGCACTGAGGGCGGTCATCATGTACACTATTCAGAACTGTGTGTTCAAGAACAAGAAATGGGCAGTTTTCAGTTATTTAGAACTTTTATTTTTTAATAAAAAGCCTGATATGTTATCATTTAAACACAGATGAAATTTGTGCTTAAAGAGGGACATTACTGACTCTAGTTTGCATTTTTATATGACATTTCACGAAGATACTTTTCAAGGAGTGCACTGGTATAATCCCTGTAAGATGTTCTAGTGTGGGAGATGCATTATACAAATAATGGCTGCTGGGTTTACCTACACCATCAATGCATTACCTTTATCAGACCATTTTGATAACATAGTCTGGGATATCTAATTGTGGCTTTAGTTGCCTTCCAAGTTCTAACCTCTAAGAAGCACAGCATTAACCTAATTTGACCAGAGTATTTCGGTAAGTGCACCGACAGTTACTTACCACAACAGAATCATTGTGAGTTAGATCAACTACTACAGGTTCAGAAGATTCACATGTGAGATCTACTACTTCTTCACCAGCTTAAAAATACAATGATAAGAGTCAAGATCATGCATGTAGAGCTGTATAGCACCTGCCACTCCACAACAAGAGTCAGGCATGAACCGACAGAATGCTACCATTTACTAAATGCTGATAGTTTGTGTTCCCCACCCTTCTCCTTTAAGACAGACATTGAACACTTCTCTCAGGCTCTCGACCCTCATTAAAATGCTTGGAGAGTTAATACTACTTTTGCGTGTCTTGATTTGCAGCAACAGAGAAACTGCAGCGGTTGTTCTCCCCGGCCCCCCACGCCGTGCACACACTTCATTTTCTTAAACTTTTTTTGTGTGATAACTTGTGTGAGGCAAGTATCAATAAAACTGGATGTATTACTTTAATACTGTGAAGAGAGGAACACTGTTTCTACAGAAGTTTATTTGGTAATACCCAGGAATTTCCCCATCATCATGCTTTAAATGTTCTGACTTCAGGTATTCCCTTTTATGAAGGCCTGCATGAACCTTCAAATGCACTGTCAAATAAGAGAAGGTGCAATTCTATCACTTTCTAGACACTGCTGCTTACTTTGCCTCAAAAGATCTAACAACGAATCTCTTCCCCCAACATCTCGATTGTCCAGTGGCACAACTGGGTGTTTAGCAGGATTCCTGCTTCTGATGTACTTAAACATTTTTTTGCTATTACTTTTTGAGTCCTTGGCTAGCTGTTCCTCAAATTCTTTTTTGGCCTTCCTAATTATATTTTTACACTTCATTTGCCAGAGTTTATGCTCCTTTCTATTTTCCTCACTAGATTTTAACTTCCACTTTTTAAAGGATGCCTTTTTGCCTCTCACGGCTTCTCTTACTTTGGTGTTTAGCTGTAGTGGCTCTTTTTTGGTTCTCTTATGCTTTTTTATTTTTGGGTATACATTTAAGTTGAGCCTCTATTATGGTGTCTAAAAAGTTTCCATACAGCTTGCGGAGATTTCACTTCTGGCGCTGTGCCTTTTAATTTCTGTTTAACTAACCTCCTCATTTTTATGTAGTTCCCTTTTTTTAAATGAAATGTGACAGTGTTGGGCTGCTGTGGTGTTTTTCCTGCCACAGGGATGTTAAATTTAATTATATTATGGTCAATAATACCAAGCGGTCCAGCAGTATTCACCTCTTCGACCAGATCCTGTGCTCTACTTAGGACTAAATCAAGAATTGCCTCTCCTCTTGTGGGTTCCAGGACCAGCTGCTCCAAAAAGCAATCATTTAAGGTGTCAAGAAACTTTCTCTCTGCATCCTGTCCTGTGGTGACATGCACTCAATCAATCAATGCAGGGACAGTTGAAATCCCCCATTATTATTGAGTTTTTTATCTTAATAGCCTCTCTAATCTCCCTGAGCATTTCATAGTCACTATCACGATCCTGGTCAGTTGGCCAGTAATATGTCCCTACTGCTATATTCTTATTATTAGAGCATGGAATTACTATCCATAGAGATTCTATGGTACAGTTTGGTTCATTTAAGATTTGTACTTCATTTGATTCTACACTTTCACATGAAGTGCCACTCCCCCACCAGCACGACTTGTTCTGTCCTTCCGATATATTTTGTACCCCTGGTATTACTGTGTCCCAGTGATTATCCTCATGCCACCAAATTTCTGTGATGCCTATTATATCAATATCCTCATTTAATATGAGGCACTCTAGTTCACCCATCTTATTATTTAGACTTCTAGGATTGGTACATAAGCACTTTAAAAACTTGTCACCTTTTAGCTGTCTGCCATTACATGATGTAATTGAATGGGACTTTTTTTTATTTGACTGTTTCTCATTGATCTACTTGTATTTTTATCATTTTCCATCCTTTCCTCCTTACTAGAACATAGAGAATCTCCATTAATAGATCCTCCCCTTAGGGATGTCTCTGTCTGAACCATGTGCTCTTCCGCACATGTTGGCTTTCCGCCAACCCTTAGTTTAAAAACTGCTCTATGACCTTTAGAATTTTAAGTGCCAGCAATCTGGTTCCATTTTGGTTTAGGTGGAGCCCATCTTTCCTGTATAGGCTCCCCCTTTCCCAAAAGTGTCCCCAGTTCCTAATAAGTCTAAACCCCTCCTCCCTACACCATTGTCTCATCTATGCATTGAGAGCCTGCAATTCTGCCTAACTGGCCCTGTGCATGGAACTGGAAGCATCTCAGAGCATGTTACCAAGGAGGCCCTAGACTTCAATCTCTTACCTAGCAGCCTAAATTTGGCCACCAGGACCTCTCTTTGCTATCCTTCCCTATGTCGTGGGTACATTCAGAAGGCTAAGAAAAAGCCTCTACATTTCTAACGCTGTTGTGCTACTTTTTTGAGAAACAAGTTGTCTGAAGGCCTCTATCTTGAAGAGTCCAAGCCTGAATAATAGTAGACCAAATTTCTACCCATCCTCTAAACTGTTTAGGATTAGGAAGTTAGATGGACACCAATATTCTGTACTGGCTATCCTTCAATGAGCATTTCCCCCCCTGCCCCCCTTTAAGAATTGGATTTGGAAGCTTTACTTTGATAAAAGTACATCTGAACAGTGGGAGGCAGGAGCCTGGGGGGGTGGGGAGACAGGGGGGACTGCAGGCAGAAGAGGTGGGGAGGGACCACCCCCAAACCCATAATCTGCCTCTGCATGTGAACTGGGCTCCCAACACTCCAGAAGCAAAAAATTTTTCTTTTAAATGGAAAAAATAAGGCTTACCGCTTTCTTCAAGTTCTATTGGCTCTGCTTCTGAAGCCATTTCTGTCGCTGAAGCTACCAGTCTGTTTCGTTTCTGAGTTTGCCTAGAATTGATGGCTCCTCCACGACGTTTTCTTTGAGTCTAAGAGAGAAAAGAATATTTGTTTGTTTTTTAAAGCTAGTATTAATGCAGACCTGATCTTGATAGAATGTTTTTAATTGCTGCTAACTGCATACATGGTTTTGTACAGATTCATTCCAATATCTGAATTGGAAACGCCAAAGTAAAGGCATCACCACAATGCTTCTTACCAGTTGGGCCAGGCAGGAAAGGTGCTTTCTGTGATCACTGGTGATCAAGAGGGCTATTTCATGATTACATCAACTGTTAGATTCAAACTGACTTCTTCAGTTAGTTTGGACAAAAACAGGACTATTCCCCAACATTAAGGGTGTTTATTTATTTGAGTAATACTAACAATAGCTAGAGATATTAAATTTAATCAGGATAGAATATGGGATTACATTGCATCTTAATTTACTTTTATTACAATCTGTTTTCTTCAGGTTGTTCAGACCACACATTATGTTTTGAAATGGCACAAGTGGCTACAAGTCTAAAAATGATAAAGAACTAGATAATCAGTTATGCATTTACTTCATTAAGAAAATACTTACTGTGCTCATGCTGTTTCTTGAATATAAAATACAGAAAAAAGTAAGAGGTACAGATACCATAAAATAAACTGCAAGGAGGCTACAATTTTCAACGCTTTATATTTCTTTAGGAAGTATATAATTAAAAGTCCAGATTTTTCAGTATCTTAGAATGTTGCTCTTCCAAACCTATAAAGAAAAGGAGAGAGAAGATTACCTACCTGTAATTCTTGCTCTCCTAAGTACAGCCATCTCTACGGATTCCCATTTTTGAGTCAACGCTTCTTGCATGAGACCAGTCAGGAACTCCCATAGTTTAAGATTTGAGCCTCTGAGGCATCCAAAGGTATGTCTCAAAAACTTGCTATGCTCTCCTACTCCCAACACCTACAATCCAATGTCAGTTTATTATTGTATTGGGAAAGTACCTAAAAGCCCAAATGAGGTTTCCTTTGAAACAAGAAGTGGCAATTCTAAGGCCTGGTCTACAGTATGCGGTTATTTCGGAATTAGCTGAGTTACTTTGAAATAAAACTGATTCCGTCCACACGACCAAACCAGTTTTTTCGATTTAAAGGGCTCTTTAATCCGATTTTTGTACTCCACCTCAGCAAGTGGAGTAGCGCTAAAATTGAGATCGCAGTTCCGGGTTACAGGTACTGTTGACACAATTCGACGTTATCGGCCTCCGGGAGCTATCCCAGAATGCTCCCTTGTGACCACTCTGGACAACACTCAACTCCAATGCACTAGCTATGTAGACAGTAAAAGCCCCGGGAACTTTTGAATTTCCTCTTTGGTCACCATCAGCACAGTCCACCATCACAGGCAATTGCAGAGTCCACCATCACAAGAGACCATGCAGTCCCGGATTCGCAGATGAGCTCCAGCATGGTCTGAACAGGAGGTACTGGATCTCATCGCATGCTGGGGAGACGAATCTGTTATGGCAGAACTACGTTCCAAAAAAAAGAAATGCAAATACGTACGCTAAAGACTCCAGGGCCATGACAGAAAGAGGCTACTCCAGGGACACACAGCAGTGTTGTACAAAAATCAAGACGCTCAGGCAAGCGTACCAAAAAGCCAAGGAGGCGAACGGGTGCTCTGGGTCACAGCCCCATACATGCTGCTTCTACCATCAGCTGCATGCAATTATGGGGGGGTGACGCCACCACTACCCCATCACTGTCCGTGGACACCTGCAAGGGGGAAGTAGCACGGAGCGAGGAGGATGAATTTTTGGAGGACTAAGAGGAGGACGACGGTGCACAGGCAGCAAGTGGGGAATCAGTTTTTCCCTCGAGCCAGGAACTATTCTTAACGCTGGAGCCAACAGCCTCCCCCCACTCCCAAGGCATGCTCCCGGACCATGACAATGGAGAAGGCACTTCTGGTGAGTGAGAGCTTGATCGGAACCACGCGGTGGGGGGAAACCCAGCTGCACCGGGCTGTTCGCGTTTAGGTTAAAGGGCTCGTCCCTGCTCAGAGCCTCATCGGAGCCCCGCAGTAGGTGAGTGTGTGGGGGAGAGGGTGTTGTGTGAAGCGATCATCCTAAAGAGACCACAGGCCCTCCTTTTATATGGCAAACCCACCAGGCATTGCTTGCTATGGGAAAGGGGGCCCGGCAGTTTGAAAGCATTGAAATCAATGCAAAAGAAGCAGAATCCCGCATGCCCCTAGTGCTTGCCCGGCCGCATGTGGCGGCTTACTCACACCAAAGTGGCAAGCACTTCAGTAGAAGAGGCAAAATGTGACCTTGTACAGAAAGAACATGTGCTGTGTACAATGAATTGCCTGTTTCATTGAGAAACAGTGTCCCCTTTGTTCTCTAAAAATGTATCTTTTAAAATACTACCCTCCCTTTTTCTCCTCCTGCAGCAGGTGCAAATGTTTCAATGTGGTCCCTATCTACTCCATTCCAGAGGTTGGCCGGCCTAGATTAGAAGGCGGAAAAAACCAACTCGGGACAACATATTTGCCGAGCTCATGCAGTCCTCCTGCACTGATAGGGCCCAGCTGAATGCGTGCAGGCATACAATTGTGGAGTCATGTAAAGCGTTACATGAATACGAAGAGAGGAGGGATGTGCGCAATGAGAGCAGGCAGGATGCTACAGTCAAGCTCATGGGGGAAGCAAACTGACATGCTCCACTATATGGTGGATCTAATGTGGGAAAGGCAGCAAGACCACAGACTGCTGCTGCAGCCCCTATGTAACTGCCCTCCCTCCTCTCCAAGTTCCATAGCCTCCTCACCCAGATGCCCAAGAACAGGGTGGGGGGAGTTGGGGGGAGGTGGGCTACGGGGACCCACACAGTCAACCCCAGAGAATTGCACAAGCAGCAGAAAGCTGACATATCCTAATTTTTTATTTGGTTTCTGGACTTGTCCTTTCCTCCTCTTCCACCCGCCCAACCCAGTACCTCCCCTCCCCCGTCTCGCTTCTGATTTCTCTCAATGTTTTGTGCAACAAATAATAAAGAATGTTTTTTAAACAATTGTGACTTTATTTCCTTTCATTATATATATATATATATATAAATAAATAAAATGTATGGTGGGTAACTTTAAGAGAAACAAACAACCGTCACACTGTACCCTGGCCAGTCATGAAACTGGCTTTCAAAGCTTCTCTGAGAGCCCTGCTGCGCTCTTCTAATCACCCTGTTATCTGGCTGTGTGAAACTGGCCACCAGGCGAGTTGCTTCAACCTCCCACCCCACCATAAAGGTTTCCCCCTAACTCTCGCAGATATTGGGGAGCACACAACAAGCAGCAATTACAATTGAAATACTGGTTCTGCTGAGATCTAACCGAGTCAGTAAACTGCACCAGCGCGCTTTCAAACGTCCAAAAGCACATTCTAGCACCATTTTGCACTTGCTCAGCCTAGAGTTGAACTGCTCCTTACTACTGTCCAGAGTGCCTGTGTACGGCTTCATGAGCCATGGCATTAAGGGGTAGGCTGGGTCCCAGAGGGTAACTATAGGCATTTCAACACTTCCCAGACCAGAAAATTACTGTTGGGCATAAGTCCCTTCCTGCAGCTGTTCAAACAGACCAGAGTTCCTGAAGATGCAAGCTTCATGCACCTTTCCCGGCCATCTCACATTGATGTCGGTGAAATGTCCCTTGTGATCCACCAGTGCTTGCAGCACCACGGAAAAGTACCCCTTGCGGTTTATGTACTGGCCGCCCCGGTGTTCCGGGGCCAAGATAGGGATATGTGTTCTGTCTGTCGCCCCGCCGCAGTTAGGGAACCCCGGCGCATTAAAGCCATCCACAATGGTCTGTACATTTCCCAAAGTCAATACCCTTGATAGCAGCCAGTCAATGATTGCATTGGCTACTTGCAGCACAGCAGCCCCGACAGTCGATTTCCCCACTCCAAACTGATTCCCAACTGACCGGCAGCTGATGGGCACTGCAAACTTCCACAGGGCTATGGCCACTCGCTTCTCATCTGTGAGGGCTGCTCTCATTTTGGTGTCTTTGTGCTTCAGGGCAGGGGACAGCAAGTCCCAGTTCCATGAAAGTGGCCCTACGCATACAAAAGTTTCTCAGCCACTGGGAACCATCCCATACCTGCAACATTGTGTGGTCCCACCAATCTGTGCTTGTTTCCCGGGCCCCAAATCAGCATTGCACAGCATGAACCTGGCCCAATACCACCATGATCTCACAATCGCCACATGCTGTGCTTCTAGGAACATCCGGTCCATGTCCTCATCACTATCGTAATCCCACTGTCGTCGCTTCCTCGCCCGGTTTCGCAGGTACTGCACATACTGCTGGATAATGCGCGAGGTATTTCCAACGGTCAAAACTGCAGTGGAGATCTGAGCTGGCTCCATGGCTATGGCGCCTGCACGGGTAATCCTGGAAAAAGGGCATGAAACATAGGAGAGCAGAGTGGCAGCGGAAGAGGTGCTGTTCAGTTCACGATAGCCAAAAAAAGGCAGGAAATGGTTGTCTTCTGTAGCTTTCACAGAGGAAGGAGCCCAGGACAGACAACGTGGAGAAGCTCCGTAGCACATCAAGAGCGGGAAAGCAGAGTTGGCAGCGGAAGCGTTCAATAAGGAAGAGAAAGTAGATACTAGAGATTACATAGGAAGATGAGAGGAAGTGCTAGGTAGATTCATAGCAGCAGGAGAGCAGCGGTGCACCATCTGCTGAAAGCAGTATGGCATCTGCACGCCAAAAAGGCGCGAAAGGATTGTCTGCTGTAGCTTTCACGAAGGGAGGAGCGACTGACAACACACACCCAGAAACACCCGTGAGAATGTTTTTGCCCCATCATGCACTGGGAGCTTAACCCAGAATTCCAATGGGCGGCAGGGACTGCAGGAACTGTGCGATAGCTACCCACAGTGCACCACTCCGACATTCGATGCTAGCACTGGTACTGTGGATGCACTCCGCCGAATTCACGTGCTTTAGTGGGGACACAGAAGACCAAATGTATAAAATTGCTTCCGAAAATTCGAATAGAATAATTTTGAATAATTTTGTACTGTAGACGTACCCTTAGAAGGAGCAAATTATGTGTGCATACAAATTACAGAACCACCAAATTTGAGGGCAGAGTCAGGGTTGGGGACTGTTAATCCAAAACTGACCATCTTCAGCAAGCAAGTATTACAGACAAGTAATTATCTTTTCTCCAGGAGATACCCATCTCCAGATTCAAATATATGGAAACTGAATAGCTACATGTGGGTGTCTCCAAAATAAAACAAATGGAACCCAGAAGTTGCAGCTTACAGAAGGAAAGAGAATGAATAGCCTGGCTTCAAACATGAAAACAGTAGCATTTCTTTTTTAGTGGGAAGGATAAGATATCTCTTCCCATGTTTTAAAACCACCACCCAAGTAGTAAGCAGAACGGCTAAACCTCCTGGTTAAAAAAAAAAAAGTGGACAGAGATGTTTAATAGACTGCTGGCTAAGACATTTGGGCATCCCTAGAAGGATTCCGTAACAGAACCTATTCCCTTAAAATTATCTGAATTTAGATGTGTGTCTTGATGTCAGAACAAAGCAACGGTTTGTCCATAAAGATAATGACATGGCTGCTCTGCCTGTCTCTGGCATTAAGGGGTTGAATTTAGCTGCCAAGGTTGTTCTGCCCCAAAATGTCATTATAGCTTGGCAGCAGTTCAGCTATTGTTCTTGTAGTAATAAGTG